AATCTGGTTAATGTAATGTGCTGTGTGGGAGAAATGTCTGTGCTGTTAGAAGAACTCTTAAGAAGATAGTATGCAATAAGCAAAGTCCACGTTTAGCGCTTCTTATAGACTCCTTTTTCTTTAATTATATTTAGAATGTAAGATTCTTACACGAGAATTCCTCCACTAAAAATATCATAAGAATAATGTGGAAAACTCCAGGTACCCAAAGAGAGACCACAATTTTCTAAATTAGTTTTGGAAAATGTTAAACCCAGAAATGTCATATGTTTATTTAAAATCACATGGAATGTTTTTTAACATGATTATTAATGCTAAAAAGTTAAAACTTACATAGGGTTTTTTTCCTTCAATTCTGTTCATAAGTAACTGTTTTAATCACTGCATTTATGGCTACGTACTATTTACAGAACAACTAAAATATACTAAGCAGAGGTAAAGGTCTGAGAATAAAGGAGTATCACCCACACCCTCGGCTTGCTGCGTTCCTCTCTATTTACGTACACATGAAAGACTGAGAGAGGGTGACACTCTCACAACTTATTATTCTGTTTGAAAATAGGTTGAAAAAAAAGCTAGAAACAAGGAGAAAATTCTACAGGAAATCCTCTACCTACAAAATTCAGTGTTTCTTTCCTGAGGTCCTGAGCTGTCCACATGCACATATTGCTGCTTCTGAATTAGAGGCTGATGACATTTAAAATCATTCGGTAGGAGAAAAATGATGACATTTTTATGATGTTAAATTACAAAGTATAAACTGAGGGTCTATATAAAAGTTCTCTAAAGTAAGCTGTCACTGTTTACATATTTTGCCAAATTTGAGAATATAAAAATCCAGCCCTGCTCAAAAGAACGAGGGACATACCAGGAACTGCACATGGGGACGGGAAGATCAGAGCCTGCACGTGCCACTTACAGAGCTGTGGATAGGACTGACCCGCTCGAGGCCTCCTGGACTGAGGAGACCCTGGTGTGTGCCCAACGCACACCCCAGCAACTCCATTCGGCCCCCCATGCCACCCACAGCAGTCAGGGTTACACGTAACCCACCCGTCATTCCACGTAAACACAGGTGTTAAGTGGAAGGGAGAAACAGTTCACGGAAATAATTCTGCAATCAGTCATAAAATCGTGAGAAAGAATTAAGTAACATTTTCACATGATATACAACTCTATGCTCCATGTTCTATAAATCAGGGGTAAGTCCTTCTCTACATTATCAAGAAAAGTAATAGTTAACTCCCTAGAGCAGAGTCTGAATCAAGACCCAGAGACAATGCAGTTCCATGATGCTGTGAGTATCCAATATCCAATTTATACTTAAAATGTAATTTTTAACTTAAAACCAAAACAAAATTCCCCTCAGTAAAAAAGAAATGTTAACTTTACTATATCCAAAATTACGATTTCGTCTAATCAACAGAAACTGGTAAAAATGCAATGCCAAAAAATCTAAAAATCATTTATGGTAGAAAAACGTAAAAAAGTCAAGAGTGCGCTGGAAATCTGTAAACAGCCAGGGAGGGGCCTCGGAGAAAAACAACAACACAGAGAACGTGCGAAACTGTCAGGAAAAGCTGCTGCTGCCATTCAGACAGACTTTCATTCTACTTTTACCCATGGGTGTATTTTCATTATCTTCAACTAATTCATTTCACTGCATTGTACTAAAATATACCCTTTCTAAAATTTTGTTTTAATTAAATCAAAACAAACAAAATGTTGAGAAGAAACCAAGTCAACTGTGTTTTCAGGTTTTATTTGGTGTGAAACCTCTTTCGGACACCAGTCCCATGGTTTAGGTTAAAAAGCCTCTATTTTAGGAAAGTAGAAAGGCAGACTTTACCAGCATGATTTACTAAAGGCAACTTGGTTACGTGCATAAAGATACTGGTTCAAAATCCTTTTACATTTGGGGAAAACTCTGCTGAAGATTTACTTTCCAACGGCATTCTATTTGGTCTCACACTAATCTGATGTTGAAATGAACTGCTATTACTTGAGCAATTTTCACTCTCTGGCACAAAGTGCCAGAGAAATGCGTATGTCACAACGAAAGACACAGGTCACGTGTGAATTCTAATCTGCATATGAAAATGCCTTTCTCAAAGAAAGCACAGGAAAATGCTGACACTAAGCTTCTCCATTCAAGGGGACTTATCATAACTAAAACATTAAAGCTAAAATAGCTTGGTACATAACTAGAGAGGAGGGGGGAAAAGGATATTCTCTCATCAGCTAGTCAATGACAAAGAGCAAATAAACCAGTTTTTGGCTATAGAGACAATTTACCTTTCCTTTTGTAATCGTACATCAAAAAATTTACTGAGGCCAAATCAGATTCCTAAATTCAAGAAAAAGTTTTCAAATTTTAAATGTTTCATCTTTAATTCATGATCATTTGCACAATAAAAATTCTTAACCAAAAAATTTTCTCCACTGGCAAAGGGAAAACTCCCAGTCAACATCCTATTCCATACCCAGCTTTTTTTCCCCATTGGAAATATACATTAAAAAAAAGCGGGGGGGGGGCTTCCCTGATGGCGCAGTGGTTAAGAATCCGCCTGCCAATGCAGGGGACGTGGGTTCAAGCCCTGGTCCAGGAAGATCCCACATGCCACGGAGCAACTAAGCCCATGCGCCACGACTACTGAGCCTGAGCTCTAGAGCCTGCGAGCCACAACTACTGAGCCTGCGAGCCACAGCTACTGAGCCTGCAAGCCACAACTACTGAGCCCACGTGCCACAACTACTGAAGCCCGCATGCCTAGAGCCCGTGCTCTGCAACAAGAGAAGCCACTGCAATGAGAAGCCCGCGCACGGCAACAAAGAGTAGCCCCCACTCACCGCAACAAGAGAAAGCCCACACGCAGCAACTAAGACACAAGGCAGCCAAAAATTAATTAATTAAAAAACTAACAATAAATTCTTCAAGAGAAAGAACTATTAAAATGAAGTTGTTTTTTATTAACAAAAGAAGAATTATGCTTCAACAGCCCTACTTTCAACAAAAGGGGAAAATAAAACTGTATTTAATGGAAACTTCAGGAAAATATCTGTCAATAAAAGCTCACTGATTCCAACAGCCTCCAACTCTATTAAATGCCAACATTCTGTAAACGAACTTCATGAAAGAAACAGAAACAAACCAAGAGAGAGAAAATTACTAAATAATTAATTTACGTTGAAAAATGTGGCTCAGGGTAAAGTAAAAGGAGGGAATCCAGTGGAGTATTCTCTAGTTTCCTGACAGACTTGAAAGATTTTTCTCTGCTAAACAGTAGATAAAAAACCATTTTTGAGTGCTCTCTGCCTTGAATCCCATTCTTCTTGCATAGACGATATGAAAAGAGTAAAAACATTTTCAGTCCCTCAAGCACCACGCGCACCAGCTCTGAAATCTATCCCTAGTCCATCTACTGCTTGGTACCAACTGTTACCATTCTAGTCCATGGCACGAGCCATCCCTACCCACGGCCACAATGAGAATCTATGAAACGGTCTTCCTGCTGCCACACTCACCCCCAACCATCCACTCTCCACAGAGGAGCCTGTGAGACCTTTCAAAGTACAAATCAAATCCTGTCACTCCCCTGTTAAAACCTTTAACCATGACTTTCAACTCATCCAACAGAAGGACCCACCAGACCCTCCGTGATCAGATCCCGGCCACCTCGCCTCGCCCATCTCCTTTCCTTCTGGCCTCACCCACTCCTTCAACTCGCCCTTGAAGCCCAGCACTGCTGACAGTTCCCTGTGGTGGCGACTGGCGGATGCAGGATGCTGAACAGCATCCCTGGCCTCGACCCACCAGCTGCCATTAGCACCACCTCCTAGACCCCAGCTGCCACATCCAAACATGTCTCCAGGCGTTGCTCTTAAAGAAGCCAAGCTCCCTCCTGCTTCCTGGTCCTTTCCCCTCCCGTTCCCTCCACCTGCAATCCAACCCCCAACACTGGAGGTGGGTGACTGGTTCCCTTCCATCACTGTCTCAGCCTGGCTGCTGGGACCACTCAGAAAGGCCATCTCTCATCACCCACTTCCATCACATCTGTCGCCTGGAGCCTAGCGTAACAGGGTACAAATTAAGTGCTCAAAGAGCACCTGCTGGAAGAATGCATAAATGTCAGTATTCATGAGAAAAGTACTTAAGTGGCAGGATCCTAATATTTAATACATGACGTCACGGTGGCAATCCTGGATCCTCTGCTATCCTGTATCTGCCTGCATCTTTCACACGTGAGCATTTGCATGTGCCATTAATCTGTCCTTTGGAACTATCAGTAGCATTACCGTCAGTTAGCGCATCTTTCCCAAGGATGGGGAATAGAGAGGCATCTGAGTGCAGAAGAGCGCGGAACAGCCAACCTACTGCTAAAACAGCCACGGCCGAGAGAGTCCAGGGGTGTCCACTCACGGACACAGATGGTTCACCATTGTATCTAAGTAGTCACTCTAATTTATCTTGTTTTGAGTACAAAAAGGTCAATAATTTTGACTTAAAAAATAAAAGCAAGAGGAAAAACATGACTCTGGCTACTATTTCAAAGGCAAAAGGCTATAACGGACGAAATGTGAGAGCGGAATCTTAACTGATCAATCAGCTTTTACTGTTTTCATGTGAACTGGTAAAAATCCATTCAGGTTAACCGTACACCGAACAGTTAAACCCTGCAAAATTGTAGCGTCTCTAATCAGTAGTCAAGATGAATTCCATTCAACTCTCAAAAAACTTATTCACCTATGTCGTAATGGTCCTTTTAGTTACTTCTGGAGTTGTTTCTGATACTAGTACTTTGAATATACATTTCTTCAGAACACTAATGCAGCTGTTTTTTCTAAATCATCACATCGCTGCTCTGAACGGCTAAAATGTAATTCTAGGTGTTAATCAAAACCACTGCTTTAAAAGCCACCACTCATCGGAGCCTTTCCACAAGAACTTCTGGACAGGAACGTGAGGCCCAACAGAGCAGCAGGGGGTGGGCGGCACCTACCAGTTGTGCACCATGAGCTTCTGCACGGCCAGGAGGGCGTTGTAGCGCACCTGCTGGTCCTCGTGGTGCATGTGGTTCATCACCAGCTGCTTCCCGCCGAGCTGCTCGATGACCCTGGGGGCCAGAAGCCACGTGGTGAAGACGCTGCAGTTACTTTCAAATGCAAGCTGTTAGCAGAAAGGCCCAACTCCGAACTGCCCAGTGGTTTTACAAAGAAAAGTTACCATACAGGTAAGTAAACCAACACACGTGTCTTTTTTAAAATATCATTTTCTCCAAATCACAGACTTAAAGTTTTTATATATTTTCTCTTGAATCCCTAGTGATAAATCCAACTGTTATTCTCATTTCCTAGTCTGGGCAAATGTCATCAACCTGGACTGCTGCAGTAATCTAGATTACAGTGTTCTATAGGCAGTTGAGTAGTAACTTCTTTATCACCAGGATTTGTGGCTTGCTTAAAAACCAGTATACTGAATACCACCTTATGTCTGAAGTAACATCAGATCAATACTAAGCCCAGCAGTTGCCATGCTGTGAACCAGATACGGGCTCAGATGCAGACAGCAGAGAACACGAGGTTAAAAAGCACTCCGTAGGAGCCATGTTAATTTCCTGAAAAAACCTGATTTGTTAAGATATCTGCCCTTTCCTGTAATGATGGAACATGAACATGCCACATGACCTGCTGGGCAGTGAAACAAATGAGAAAATTCCTGTTGTCAAGAACACCAGGAAGACTGACAACCAGCGCTGCTTTCTGTCACTGCCCCCTCAACCCCCTGAAAAATCCAGTTACTACAGACACAAAAGCAAAGTGAAAATGGTTATTTGCCTCACGAATGGAAGGAGGTTCTCTGCTCCTCTGGGGGGGAGCGGGGGAGTGCAAAGAGCCGGCGAGTGTCTTTAACCCCAGCCTGGGAGTGTGGGAGCTGCGGTCAGTGCTGCCTGGTGAGTGACATCGCCACCACACAGTCCGTGACAAGCGGCACCTTAGTGCAGTAGGGCTTCTGGTGGTTTAGGACAACCTCGCAGATGAGCACATGGGTCAGGGGTGAGGGAGAGGTTTCATCTGTACGCCTGTTTATATTTTATTTTTTAAAGCATCTTTTTAAAAAAAATGTACTGAATTGAGAAAAATAATGCAGTATAATTATACCCAAACTTTATGAGTGCTTGATACGTGCCAGGTATGTAACAAGCTTCTCCAAACAGCATACAACAGCCTCAGTCTCATTTAATGCTTTCTCCCTCAACTCCTATCCTTTCACTGTTAGCGTACCTAAGTGATTTCACATTACCAAGCCAGCCTCACCTCCTCTGCAAAGCCTTACCAGTCTCCTCCCAGAGGGAATTCCTCACTCTTCAGTACTTGGAAACACATCCTTCCATTACTATATATCTACTGTGACTTTTCTTACACGTGTTATATTTCCTTTTATATTTGGAACCTACTCAGGTCAGTAACAATATAACCACAAATAATAATTTAAAAATCACCAGTGCTAACAAAATGGCTTTTGAATTAAATCATACAAACCAAAGAAAACCCTGAACGTGAAATTTCTGGTGTGATCTCTGTTGGCTACTGCACAACAGTATTCTACACGTGTGCTTATGTTTTCATACTTCCCATCTTTAATCAGGTTTATCAGTTATCACGATTCCCGGTACTATGGTCATCCGGGTTCTGCTCACTCCGTCAGCTCCTCGGCTGAACGAGTCTACTTTACAGGAGTATAAACTAGGACCTCTATGCGGAATGTCTCGGGACACCCCGAGGAAACCAAGGCTCCTCACTTACCGCTTGCCTCGCGGGTAATGCCGAACGTACTCGCCGACGTCATGGGCAGCAACAGCTAAGACTTGTGGGTCATCGGACACCTCCAGAAGTTTGGTCAAAATCCTGAAATAAATTTAATACAAAGAGAGATTGATTTCTAATTCTTTTCTAGAGCACAACAGAGCAAAGGTATAATGCCGATACTTTCCTGAAAATAAACATTTACAAATATAACTGTATTTTCTACAAGTTTCACTGCTACACACGATACACTACACATGATTTACTGCAGGTAAGTTAGCAGCTTTCAAACCTTTATACACACATTAACAGGTCACTTTCAGATTCACAACGTCCACCACCCACAATTCCCACAATACCAGGGAAAGGGAAGAAGGGAAAATATAGGGAGTTTTTAGGGCAGTGAAACTATTCTGTGTGATACTGTGACACAGCAGGAACTGTACAACAGAAAGGCGTGAACCTGAACGTAAACTATGGACTTCAGTTAAAATAATGTATAAATATTGGTTCATCAACTAACAAACGTGCCACACTTAGGCAAGACATTAAAAATAGGGGAAACTGTGCCTGGTGGAGGAAGAGAGGGTATATGAGTACTCTCTGTACTCCCTTCAATTTTTCTGTAAACCTAAAATTATTCTAAAAATTAAATTCTATTAGTTTTACCAGTTATAGTAAGGTATATATGTAGTAATTCTATCAAGAAACTGAGAAGATGACCCAAAAATGGGAGATAATATTTGCACAGCATATTATCTGATCAGGGATTTACATCCAAAATATATTAAAAAACTCTTACAACTAAATACTAAAAAGAGAACCCATTTAAAAATTGAACTAAGAATCTGAACAGACATTTCTCCAAAGATATAAAATGGCCAATAAGGACAAGAAAAGATGCCTGACTCGTTAGCCATCAGGGAAATACAAATCAAAACCATGATGAGATATCACTTCACACTCACTAAAACAGCTAGAATCAAGAAGTCAGACAATAGTAAGTGCTGACATGGAGATGGAGAAATCAGAATCCTCATACACTGCTGGTGGGAATATGAAATTGTACAGCCACTTTGGAAAATAGTCGAGTAGTTCCTAAAATGGTTAAACAGAGTTACCATATGATTCAGCAATTCTATTCACAGATGTCTACCCAAGAAGAGAAATAAAAACGTATGTCCACATAAAAACTTGTACACGAATGTTTATTACCAGCATTTTTCATAATAACCCAAATGCCCATCACCTAATGAGTGGATAAATAAAATGTAATATGTCCTTATGATGGAATATTATATGACCATAAAAAGGAACAAAGTACTGCTAAATGCTACAACATGAATGAACCTTGAACACCTTATGGTAAATGAAAGAAGCTGGTCACAAAAGAACAAATATTATATGATTACATTTACATGAAACTTTCCTAATAGGCAAATCCATAGAGACAGAAAGTAAAAGCTTAGGGCTGAGGGCGTGGCTGGACAGAGAAATGACAGCTAAAGGATACAGGGTTTCTTTCTGAAGTGATGGAAAATGTTCTGTAATTGACTGTGTCGATGGTTACACAACCCAGTGAATATACTGGTTTATACACTTTAAATGGGTGAATTGTGTGGTATTTGACTTATATCTCAGTAAAAAAGAAAGACACTTGCACATATTAGGTCATCTTTATTATAACAAAGGGAACCGTGCAAAGCAGTGGGGAAAATGTATGTTATTTTCAATAAATGTTGCTAGTTCAATTAGATATCCATGTAATGAAAAAAACAAATCTTGGCCTACCTTATACACCTTACCCAAAAACCATTCCACACGGAATGGAAATCTAAATGTGAGAGGTTAAATGATAAAGCTTCTAGCAGATAACACAGGAGTATATCTTCAGGACCTTGGGTAGGCAAAAACTTCTTAACCAGACACAAGAAAGCACTAGCCATAAATAATAAACTGAGCTACATCAAAAGTAAAGAGTTAGTGGCATTTGACGTGGTAGAAGAAGAGCTGTGATGAATACATATGACCAAGAAACCTATAGAATTCCCACAAAAACAAAAACAAAAACTTGAACAGGCACTTCTCCTGGGAAAAAAGATATCCAAATGGCCAGTAAGCACACGAAAAGGTATTCAACCACATGGTAAGGAAGAAAATAGAAATTAAAACCATGGAATATCTAAAAATTTTAAGAGGGACAAAAACGTGTCCACGAGTATGTGGAAGGATGGGGGTTTTTCAGAGTGTAAACTGGCATTTAAAACTTACTTCAAGAGCTCATAATTCTTCTCATTTAACCTCACAGCATTTTCTCTCCAAAATTTCTCAGATTTGTGCACAGGACTCCATTCCAATCTTCCAGATTTAAGTTCTGAACTATATTCATCAAATGAGCTGTAAAAAGATTTCAAAGTTTATAAGAATCTGAGAGATAGATACTCCAAAATTTAATAAAATAAAACATCTTCACTAATTATTTAACGACAAAGACTGATCATACTTTATACATTCAAAAATCACCTCTAAACAAGTTTCAATGGCTTAATTTTCAATAAATCATGTGAAACTTATTCAGGGTACTAAGGTCCAGTACTCCTGTCAAATTTGAATGTTCACCATGAGATATTAAAAGGAGCACTTGCTTTCAAAATTCTAACCTTAATATACACATAAATGTCTGTACATCACTAAAATATCTGATAGGGACTTCCCTGGTGGCACAGTGGTTAAGAATCCACCTGCCAACGCAAGGGACATGGGTTCAAGCCCTGGTCTGGGAAGATCTGACATGCCGCAGAGCAACTAAGCTCGTGGGCCACAACTACTAAGCCTGTGCTGTAGAGCCCACAAGCCACAACTACTGAGCCTGCGTGCCACAACTACTGAAGCCCACACACCTAGAACCCATGCTCTGCAACAACAGAAGCCACCACAGTGAGAAGCCCGCACACAGCAATGAAGAGTAGTCCCCGCTCGCCACAACGAGAGAAAGCCCGTGCGCAGCAACAAGGACCTAACGCAGTCACAAATAAATAAATAAATATATATATATATAAAAATAAATTAAATATCTGATAATCTAGCATTGTTTCTACCATACCTCTTAAAACACTGTATTTGCCAGACCACTAGATACATAAAGATAAATTTATGTAAAAGTATATTACTTAAACACAAAATAAAACAGAATATTCTATTATACTTTAAATGACAAACCATGATACTGCAGTACAAAAATAAAAACACATACCTCAGTACGATATTTTTAAATGTGACTACCCACAATGCAGAGGTAATTCATTAACTGAATTAGCCCACTACAGATTAATTAAAAACAAAAACCTCTGTACATGTAACAAACTAAAATGCACTTTAATTCAAAAATTATTCACTATGTATCAAGCAACAATTATTCAAATCTTCATAATATAAAACTGCTTTAATGTGGTTAGCCAGTGAACAAAGTGACAAGACATGCTTATACTTTCTTTCAAGTAAAATTTTCAAAAAGAAGTAGCTATTTAATACTGATTGATAATTCAGTATAACAAAGATTCACTGGTTAAGCTGATCAGAGTAACCTGTTAAATAAAGCAGTAATTTAATGAAAGGCTATTTAGTATAAGAAGTAATATTGTTTAACTAATACTGTTAAACAATATTGTTTAACTAATATGCTAAACCTGTAACAATATAAAGAGACAAATCTATTTCAACTGCTCCCATCACCATGTTAGCTGTATGTAAACAGCAATATTTTTCACATTACCAAATTCAACATGAAAAATCAGTAAATAATAACAATTGGCTAGCATGGATTAAATAACTTAGAAAGCTATCACTAACCTTATTTACTTTTTTAAAAGGGTCTCAAATCATTATTACAGAAGAACCAATGATAATTTTTTAAATAAACATAATAAAATAGAATTTGTATAAACTGCAAGCCTATTGCTGGCCTATTATATTACAAACAACTTATTCATATTTGAAATTATAAAAAGACAGAAATCACCTGCCTTCCTCCACAAAGCCCCATACACACCACTGATATGGGTGACAGCTCCCATCTCTATAAACGCTTCTGGGCTGCACTGAATTATCTGGTAAACACATTTTTGGAACACATACTATACTAAAGGCACTTGCTGGACACCTCATGGAAAATCCTACAAGGTTAGCATTTTTATCACTATTTTACCAAAAGGAAAATTGAGACTTTAAAATGTCAAGAGGCTTGTTCAAGGCCACACGTGGACAAAGTGGCCAAACAATTCAAACTGGAGTCATCCTGGCTCCCAAACCCAACCTACTTCTAGTGAGTAACTCTCTTTGTAAAATGTATCAATAGTTCAAAAACAAAGAATGCATGGGTTAATGGGAAAAATCATCAAGCTATTATTAAACAAAAAAGAACCAGGACCAGAAGAATACATAGAACCCTATTTGTGTGTGTCTGTGTGTGTGTGCGCGCATGCACATGCATGCATGCTAGGGGGAGGGGGGCTAGGTTTTTTGGGGAATGAACACAAGAAACCAGAGGGGCAGGGGGAAGTAGGTGGGGAAGATGGGGGTACTGGTGTGTTGTCCCTTCTGTACTGTATTGTATTCTGTAGTGTACTGCATTCTGTATTGTACTGTATTCTGTACTGTATTAAAAAAGGGATTTTTTTCTTTACTGCATGTACATCACTTGCATAATTTTTAAAATAAAAAATAAATAAAACCAATAGGGACTTCACTAAAGCAGGAGGGCTTCCCTGGTGGCGCAGTGGTTGAAAGTCCGCCTGCTGATGCAGGGGACATGGGTTCGTGCCCCAGTCCGGGAGGATCCCACATGCCGCGGAGCGGCTGGGCCCATGAGCCATGGCCACTGAGCCTGCGCGTCCGGAGCCTGTGCTCCGCAACGGGAGAGGCCACGGCAGTGAGAGGCCCGCATACCGGAAAAAAAAAAAAAAAGCAGGAAAAATACTCTTTCCATATCTAAGCAAACCTCCTCCACAAATTAACAATGACTGCTGCTTAAAAAAGATTTTAAACCAGGGGGAGATTCTCAAAGGGTGGCACCCACAACCCGTGGTAGAACACCAGGTCAGATTTTAGACAACAGAGAACAGTGGGGATCTACACGAAAGAGGAGAAATAACACACAGCTCTGACCAATGGTTGCCATGATGGTGAGCCAGTGTTTCCACACCCCTCAATTTTCAATAGAAGACATGATGTTTTAGTGCAATCTTTTGAGTTTATAGTTCATAACAAATTTAAATTTCCTTAAAATATGAGGCAAGTCAAACAAGGCCCAATATACCTAGCCTGTGAGAATTAAAAAGAATAACATACCTAAGATCCTGGACACTCTCACCAAGTTTTTCCAAGAGAAATTTTATATCTTCACTGATATCTTCGTCATCATACTTCTGCTGTTCCAAGTTCTCTAACTGTTTCAGAACTTTGCACTGAATCATAGCCAGAGCATACTCTTGGCGAGTTTCTCTTTCAGTTGATTTTTCTAAGAAGTTCTGGGTTAGACAAAGACACAATGAGAAATGATATAATCTGTTATGTGATGTTCTCTGCACCTGCTTTCACATCCTCTCTCCCCTTCCTGTTCTCAGGTTAACTATCACCTTAAGTGGATGACTGGATCACAAATCCTGACTTCTTTCCTAAGCATCTGTCCCACATCAGGGGCATCCTTCTGATTCCTTCCTTACTCACTGGCTTACTAAACATTTTAAATTATTGACCTAGACAAGCCTCAAAACACTGAACACATTTACAGTGAGGTCCATCACCATCCTTCCTCACAGCCCTGCTCTTGAGGTCACCACCATGAACACTCCATTTCTTGGCCACATGGAGCCCTTAGGATGCTAAGAAAGACTGTTTCCTCAAGTATCTCTCTAGTTCCCAGTCACTGACCTTTTTCTCCGTCCAATCAACCTGTAAGTGCACAAAGGACGGCAATTAAAAAAACTCTCTTGCTTCAGTAATTACCAGAAAAGTTTCGTGACATTCAAGCAAATTTCTCAGTTTTCTTCTGCGATTTTTAAGAGTACTGATGAAATCAGCAAAGGAATCTAAGTATTTCTGAAGATACTCTGTTCACTAAATTAACCAATATTTCAGAGCAAAACCATGCTCATGCTGAGGTCTAGAACAAGGACAAACAAGCTCTCAAGAAAGCCACCTTCACAAAGTTGGTAAAGAAGGCCTGTCAAATCTCCCACACTCAAAAAAATCCTGGAATAACAATTCTAAATCAACTGTACCAAAATTTTAAATTTCCTTATTTTTGCAAGGAAGTTATATTTCTAATAATTATGCTAAATAAATGCAGAGAGAGATTTAGCTTAGCATATGGAAATTAGTAAGATCGATCCCTACCAAAATTCCAATTTTCACAGAAATAGGAAAAGCAATGCTAAAACTTGTATAGAAATATAAAAGACTCCAAATATCCAAAGCAATCCTGAGAAAGAAGAATAAAGCTGGAGAAGTCACATGTACTGATTTCAAACTAAACTACAAGGCTACAATGATCAAAACAGTATGGTAATGGCATAAAACAGACAGAGTTCAATGGAACAGAATAGAGAGCACAGAAATAAGCCCGTACATATTCAGTCAACTAATATTTGACGAGGGAGCCAAGAAAACCTATTGAGGAAAGGATAGTCTCTTCAATAATGTCAGCAGGGAAACTGGATAATCACATGCAAAAAAATGAAATTGGACCCGTATCTTATACCAGTCACAAAAACTAACTCAAAAGGGATTAAAGACTTAAACATAAGACCGGAAACTGTCAGACTCATAGAAGAAAACACAGGGGAAAATCTCCTTGACATTAGCCTTGGGAATGATTTTTTGGATATGACACCAAAAGCACAGCAAAAGTAAAAATCAACAACTGGGACTATATCAAACTAAAAAGCTTCCGCACAGCCAAAGAAACAAAAAAAGCAAAATGAAAAGGCAACCTACAAAATGCGAGAAAACATGTGCAAACCATACATCTGATAGGAGGGCAATATCTAAAATGTATAAAGAACTCATTTAACTCACTAGCAACAACAACAACAAAAAAGCACAAGCCAATTAAAAAATGGGCAGCGGATCTATATAGACATTCTCCCAAAGAAGACATAAACATGGCCAACAGATCATGAAACAGTGCTCAACATCACTGATCATCAGGGAAAATCAAGTCAAAACCACAATTAAATATCACTTTGCACTTGTTAGGACAGCTATTATCAAAAAACAAGACAGCCAGTGTTGTCCAGATTGTGGACATAAGAGAACACTTGTGCACTACTGGTGAGAACGTAATATTAACTTCAAGTATAATGGAAAAGGTTAAGGATAAATATTGTGACACCAAAACAACCTATAAGAAATAAAATACTACAAAGCAGCACAGTTAAAAAGCCAATAGAAAAATTAAACTGAAATTCTAAAAAGAACTCAGTTAACGTAAGAGAAGGCAGGAATGGAAGACAGAACAAAAAACAGATGAAACAAACAGAAGAAAATAATAAAATGGTAGACCTAAATCCAACCACACCAATAATTACTCTAAATGTCAGTGAACTAAACACTCCAATTAAGAAGCAGAGATTATTAGAACAGATAAAAATTCAAGACCCAAGTATATGTTGTCTCAAAGAGACAAATTTTAAATATAAGACACAGATAGGTTGAAACTAAAAGATGGAAAACCATAAGTGGAAGAAAGCTGGCATGTCTATATTAATTTCAAATAAAGTAGATATCAAGACCAAGAGCACTGGGACTTCCCTGGTGGCCCAGTGGTTAAGAATCCACCTGCCAATGCAGGGGACACGGGTTCAAGCCCTGGACTGGGAAGATCTCACATGCCGCGGAGCAACTAAGCCCGTGAGCCACGACTACTGAGCCTGCGCTCTAGAGCCTGTGAGCCACAACTACTGAGCCCACGTGCCACAACTACTGAAGCCCACGCGCCTAGAGACCATGCTCCGCAACAAGAGAAGCCACTGCAATGAGAAGCCCGTGCACCACGACGAGGAGTACCCCCCGCTCGCCACAACTAGAGAAAGACCGCACGCAGCAACAAAGACCCAATGCAGCCAAAAATAAATAAATATAAATAAATTTTAAAAAATAAAAAGTTAAAAAAAAAAAGAGCTTCAAAATACATGAAACAATAACTGGCCGAACTGAAAGGAGAAACAGACAAATCCACACTAACAGCTGGAAATTTTAACAACTCTCTCTCTTAGCAATTGATCATTGATAGAACCACTAGACAACAGAATCAGTACAGAGATGATCCAAACGATACTATGAACCACCCTGATTTAACTGACATTTACAGAATGTGATACCTCTGCAAAACATGCATTCTTTTCAAGTACACAGGCTACATTCACCGTGACAGACCGTGAGATGAGCATGAGACAAATTTCAAAGAATTGGAACCATACAGAACATGTTCTCTGACCATAATGGAATTCAAATAAAGACCCTAAACTGTAGGGTGCCTTGAACTCTGATAACATCCCCCTTTATGAAATTCCTCCCTTCACCCCTCGCTTTTGTGAGATTTTACTTATTAGTCTACTTAGTTTTCTCTGTTATCTTTTCCAGTTACTTTTCTTACTATTATCTCTCCTAAATTTAGAAATATATCAAAACTCTTCTGTTCATATGGTCCTACATATTTGTTGCCAGGAGACTTACACTTCATATTTAAGATATTATCATAACTAACAGTTTCAACTATAACCTCAACCCAGTCAGTGTAACTGGTAAAGAACAGCCCAATGGCGCTCTTCTGAAACCATCTCTCCTCTCGATTCTCTAAGACAACAGGACTTCGAAATTTAGTCATGTTTGACGCTCCCCTTTCCTTCAAGCCTATGTCAAATCAATCAATAAACCTTACTTGTTTTTCCCTTGAAACATGTTTTAATTTCATCTCTCCATCTCATTACAAAGAATAAAAAGGTTGTGAAAAATATTTGGAAAATGAATTTACCAGAAACAAACCTAGATCATCCGGCAGCAGTGTACCCTTTAAAGTCGCTAAACTCAATGACATCTTCACCTCAACAAAACCAAAGCGTAAATATCATTTTGGCCTGTGTCCAAGTAACAGTGCAGAGCAACCTTGACTTCACTAAGAACAAAGTGGAACCAAGTGACCATTCAGATCCTTCCTTCACCAAAACTGCTAACCTTGTAACATACATGATAAAGCAGTGCTTCTCAAACCATCTGTGGTGAAGACCAGTTCTGTTTGATTTTCAATTTCCAATCAGTCAGGAACAAATACTTTTAGTAAAAAATACAAAAATGAATTTCTAGAAAAATGAACTTTAAAAGACATGCAAAATAGAAGCTCAAATCTTATATTATTAACAGACATGTCAAATTACTGTAAGTTTCTAAATGCTTGCTCTCACTTTCTGTACTTATCCCTTGCAGGCTGCTAACCAACAGCTGACAGAACTGCACTGAAGCAGCGCTGTTATTATGGAACTCACCCCAAGATTAAAAATGTCTCAGTCTTACCAAACCTCTTCCAAACCTGGTATCTAATAAACAAGAGAGATAAATTCCTGAAATAAGGAATGAGGGATGGACCTAGGAATGAAATTTCTTGATAGCAACACTTCTATGTCAAAGCAGTGAGCAAAACACCCCCATACACCCAAACCAGAGCAGGTGTCTCTGGAGGGGTTATGACTGTGAACTGTCTGCAGAGGAAGATGTAAGTCTGTGTTTGTCTGTGTCTGTGTGTGCATATGCGTGTGGGCTTGAGTTAAACATCATGGTTAGTACAGCTAGTGTAAATCCAAATTCAATTTGGTGGTATTTCTTTCTAAGCTTTTATGCTGAAAACCATGCAGTTGTAAAATACAATTTATCTTATTATCTGACATATTACGGAGGCTCTTGACTAAACAGAGCCAAAAAGAGAAAAACTCTATACAGCAAATATGGTCTAGAATGTCTTTCTCAGTCTCAGCCTCAAAAAACATTCTAATTTATTTTAGAAACGAAAGACTGACATATCAAGTTAACCAATGGAATAACATTCATGGAGACCTGGAGTTCAGCACCTGCTATGAATAATTGAGACAGACATTTTCAAAAATAAATTCACCCAGCCAAATGGAAAGAAAAAAAAATTAACAGCTGCTAGATTTCTTCAGCTCACAGCAGCTCAGCAAGATTCCAGAAGCACAAAACTTCCCCTCCTGAGTTTCAGGATGTGGGGCAAAGTGCATAATCAGACAACCCTCAAACAACCTCATCGGTGAAATCTCTATCAAAGGTTACAGGAATTTGAGAATAACGAAGAAAAAAAAGAACACGTCATTTTTTACACCTATTCGATGGTCTAAATCAAATGGCTTTACTATGTCCTTACTAATGGCTCGATTTTAACTCAGTTGTGTACATCGAAGTTCGGGATGTCTAAAGATGTTCTTCTGATATTCAGTCTTCAGTATAACCATGCAATGATTTATCCCAATTTATCAAGGAGAGTCCAAAAAACTAATATACCTGTCAATAGGTTGCATGTATTTTAAATAATCTGAAATCCAAATTAGACAATAGAAGCCGAGAAATTAGCATAAGTTCAACACATTGTGGGTAAAAAATTGAAACTGCAAATGAAGTATAAATAAGATTTTTAAATCTTGCTAAATAAACATTAGTAAAATATTCATGCTGTCTTTTCTAAATCAAACAGAACAGCACTTCATCTTTGCCTAGGTTCCACATTAACTTAGAATGCAATTGCTACAGGTGGGCGTTAAAGAGGCAAATTGCTAGTATTTTATGCTTTTATGGAGCGAAAAGGCAGGAAAATAAATACAGATTGTATATTTACTATTGCCAGCCATCATCTGTTATTTCATTGAATTCTTACCCAATCTTGAAGTGAGTTAAGTATCACTAACCACCTTTCACAAGTGGAGAAATCAGCTCTGAGAGTTCAAACCACTCTCCCAGCAACCTAGTGCTGGGATTCACCCCTAGGCGTGTCTACTCCAGAGCCTACACTCTTGCTAACACACCACGTGGAAAGGAAAATTAGAAAAGGGTTATGTTACTGTACCCCTCAAATCTTCATAAAAAGCAGATAATCAATCTGGAGAGCTCCCAAATCAGGTCAAAAGAAAACTAAGAATCTCAGTCTGGCTTTATACTTCTTGTGACTTTTTGAACTTTGTATACCGTAAACACTCATCATGGTGACTTCATGAAGTCTCTCCATCAGAAACAGATTCACACAAAATACAAAGTCCCTAAGAAAAAGTATCTTGTCATATTCATCCTTCCATAATTGGTGTTCAAGAAACATCTGATGCATTGAGAGGTGGATAGATAATCCATGAAATGGGGGATGGGGGGAGGAACAGGAAAAAGAAAGGATAGGGAAGGGGGAGGGACGGAGAGGGGGAGGGAACAGCTCACAGGTAGGATCCAGCTAATATCAACAAACACCTCTCACCTACCATGTACCCATATTAGAGGTACCTGCTTCCAGTGACCCTTTTATCTAACATAATAATGACTTAACATAAAAATCAATGGGAGGAGGAACTAGAGAAGGGACAAAATACTAAGCAAGGTCTGTGGGAAGCTCAGCTAGAACAGCTGCTACATACATTATGGGCAAAGCAGTTTATGCTGGGAGCTGTAGAGGGAGGGACAAGACAGGGGTCAGGGTTAACAGATACAAGCTACTGTGTGTGAAACAGGTGAGCAGCAAGGACATACTGTATGGCACAGGGAACGACAGCCATTGTTGTGTAATAACTTTCAATGGAGTATACTCTATAAAAATACTGAATCAACGTTATACGCCTGAAACTAATGTAATATTATAAATCAACTGAGATAATAAATAAATAAATAAGTAAATGATTTGATAAGACAAATGGCTTGTCTCAAAAAAAAACCAAAACCGGACTTCCCTGGTGGGGCAGTGGTTAAGCATCCGCCTGCCAACGCAGGGGACACGCGTTCGAGCCCTGGTCGGGGAAGATCCCACGTGCCGTGGAGCAACTGAGCCCGTGAGCCACGACTGAGCCTGCGCTCTAGAGCCCACGAACCACAACTACTGAGCCCGTGCTCCACGACAAGAGAAGCCACCGCAATGAGAAGCCCGTGCACCACAAGGAAGAGTAGCCCCCGCTCACCACAACGAGAGAAAGCCCACACACAGCAACCAAGACCCAACGCAGCCAAAATACATAAATAAATAAATTTATTTAAAACAAAAACAAAAGCATCTTATGCTGAGCTTTAGATTAAATCTCAACCCATTACTATAAATTATTAGTATCTGATTTCTTCCTAAAACTCACAGCACTCACTATATTATCTAAATGACACTTATAAAAAACCATGTAAGGGGGCTTCCCTGGTGGCGCAGTGGTTGAGACTCCGCCTGCCGATGCAGGGGACACGGGTTCGTGCCCCAGTCCGGGAAGATCCCACATGCCGCGGAGCAGCTGGGCCCGTGAGCCATGGCTGCTGAGCCTGCGCGTCCAGAGCCTGTGCTCCGCAATGGGAGAGGCCACAACAGTGAGAGGCCCGGGTACCGCAACAACAACAACAACAAAAAACATGTAAGTTTATCAAAACTGAGGGGGCAAAGATACAAATGTAGAGATATAGTCTATGAAACAAGAGAACAGCTGAAGTAAGACCCTGAGTTCTACAGCAGTTCTTCCCACACCTATATTTCACCTTAAACAAGTCACCTTATTAACAAATTATCAAAAGAAATAACTTTGTGCTAAATGTTTACAATCTTCAACATTTGGAAAGATAGATATTTTAATGTAAAAAATATGTAACTGACATACAGAAAAGGGTAGGTAGATATGAGCTGAAAAAATACGATTCACTTCCATGTTTATCACTCAGGCAACTGTTGATCTTTCTATTTCCCAGAAGTGAAAGTCATACAAAGGGAAAAAAAAATAATAATCCAAAACATCTTTCTAGGATAATCTAATTGCAAAGATATTGAATCAAGGATGACTATCTTTCCTAACAGTTCACCAATTAAGAAAATCTATTTTTTTAAAAGGGTTTTCACGCCAACTTCATGAACAGCTTCCAATTTAGAAAAAAGTCCATGCACTAAGAGAAAGTAGGGACTCTCTGTATTCTTGCCCAATATATAATTACTTGAAACATAAAGTTGCACTTTTTTTTTTTTTTGCGGTACGCGGGCCTCTCACTGTTGTGGCCTCTCCCGCTGCGGAGCACAGGCTCCGGATGCGCAGGCTCAGCGGCCACGGCTCACGGGCCTAGCCGCTCCGCAGCATGTGGGATCTTCCTGGACCGGGGCACGAACCTGTGTCCCCTGCATCGGCAGGCGGACTCAACCACTGCGCCACCAGGGAAGTCCAATTTGCACGTTTTTGAAAGGTGATTTGACATTATCTATAAGAACTGGTAAAAAGTATATTCTTTGACTCAGCAATTCCATCTCTGGAACTTACCCAACCGAAATACTCATCGAAGTGGGAAAACATATGTAAAAGAAACTAGAAACACCTCACATTTCCATCAATAGGACACTGATTAAATAAACCACTTTACATCAACACAGTAGAATATAGCCATTGAAAAGAATACTGAAGATCTAGTACAGGAAAATGAAAACACATTTATTATATAGTTAAGAATAAAGTTACAGAACAGTATTTATAGCCTGACACCACTCTTATTTTTAAATACAAAACAAAATTAGACACCTATTTATATATTTATCTCTATTTGCTTAGAAAAATCTGAAAGATGTTAGTGACTATATTTGGCAAATGTGGTGTCTACGCCATTTACGGTTTTGCAATACATCTGCACAACCTTTTATTTTTGATTTGTCGTTGTTTGTTTAAAGAAAGCGTAAGAACAAACAATGGTTAAAAACACAAATTCTAAAGCCAATAGCTTGGATTTGTAGGTCTACCATCTCCCAGCCACTCTTACGTGTCATCCATTTAGATGGCTTCCCCCCACTGTCCACTCCCCCTGCCATGAGTACAAACTGGGATATTTTACTCCAAGCTCACCAAGATGCCACAGTTCCATAACTACATGGAGAACAAGCAACTTTTTCCCACCTGCTAAAAGCCCTGAAATATACTCCACAGTAAAAAAAAATGCCTTACACACACACACACACACACACACACACACACACACACACACACAAAAAACACGTACCCGGAATGCTGCAAGAATGATTCTTGTCACTTTCTCTTTGACAGATTCTTGCAGGATGTCGGACAGAACAGGAATGATGTTGTAGCGTCGCAGGTGTTCACACATCTGAGGACTGAACGCCAGGAGCCATATAGAAAAAATCATCTGATACTGGAGCTGAAAGCCACACTTGTTACTCAGAACTCCCATGATGCTGAAAAGGAACACACGTTGAGAAAACATTTAACACGACAGCACAACAGAGAGAAGAAATAACTGATTTTTCTTTTGTGCTGATGGATCAGTCTCTCTGAATCACGTCCTCTCTTTTTCCCCCTGAAGGAACGAGCAAGCCAGACCCCTGCTCACAGAGGGCCAGTCCTGCACGGAGTCACGTAAGCCTCTCTCCAGAGTCTCAAGGGCACCACCGCCCTTGCTGCAGGGAGCACGGCCCACAGAGGGAACAGTAGGAGGACCCTGACAGACATTCAAGAAGTAAAAGCCTCAGGACATGGTGACACAGCGGATGCACATCTCAGTGAAGCCAGACGGTATAATCAAGATTTTCAATCTGGACTGAAAATGATCCAAGAGGATCATTTAAAGCTTTAAAAATATTTAGGAAACTCGACAGAGAAAAGAGGAAATGAGTTTGGAAAAAGTCTTTCATGAGTCTGAATTTGACACAGAGCCAATCATCAAATTTGGGGTCAGAACCTCAGAAGCTTCTAGTTCAGCCTCCCGTCTTACTGTTAAGGAAACTGGGAAAGCGGTGTGAAAATGACAGGTTACACCAAGGAAAGCGCTAAGGAAATTTCCCTGGGGCACGCCTGCATTCACACAGGGGACAGAAACCATCAAATCAGACGGTTAAACAGCGACCAGAGGGGTTAAAGAGAACTCAAAATCCACAGAATGTACAACGCAGAGCGAGCGCTAATGTAAACTTAGTCAGTAAGGACATGTCACTATTGGTTCATCAACTGAAACCAAGGCATCACACTAACACCAGCTGCTAGTAACAGGGAAGACCGTGGGAGCGCAGGCACATACGGGCACTCTCTGTGCTTCCAATTGTTCTGTAAACCTAAAACTGCTCTAAAAAATAAAAGTCTATTAACAAAATTAAATACATTTTAAATCTAATTTTGCGATTTACAGCTACTAACTTAGTGGAAGGCTTATATTTGTGCCGTTTCCCCATTTCTGTGATTTGCATGCACTTATAAATTCGCTGAATTGCCCTTAATTTTCTCATGCATGATTTCTCCCTTGAACCTGTTCTACTTTTGGTTGGTACGTAAGGCCTGCTTGTATTTAATATTGATGTCAGCATTCAACAGCGGTCAAAGCACAGCATTTCACACTGTCAGCACCCTGGTACCTGGCTTCCTTTGCGCTCTGCCTGTTCCACTTGTTAAGGTCAGCCTGCTACACTCTGGGATGCCGTGGCTGACAATTCATTTTCCGGGTTCCCCATTTCCGCTTTCCCCACTGGCTCAGCGACAGGAGGTACTCGCGGCTGGCTCAGGGATGGAGGAAGAAGGGACCTCTCCTGTCGACCTCCTGTTCCTGCCAGCATCACTTCGGCACGCTTCTTCACCCGCCAGCAATGGCTGAATTCATCCTGCACGGGCTGTGGCAGAACGAGCGTCCCTGCACCCTTGAGACACTAGCACCTGCCGTCTGGGTTCCCGACCTCGAGGGTGGGGACCCAGCCCCAGCTGAGCTGTACTGTCCCCTCCAGGCCTGAACTTCACTTCATGCAGCCCCTCCTGCAGCCCGTGAATCCTGGCAAGTCCAACCTCTTACCCTTTGCTCCCCGCTTTAGGGGTAGTAGGATCTCTGACACTTGAGAGTCCCTTTATTTACCCGTTTTCAGAAACCCAGTTCACAAGTTTATACCTAGTTTATAGCTAGGGAGAATTTAATTTCTTCACATTAAATTCTCTCTGTTAAAAGGAAAAACTTTTAACGATGAGAGGGGCGAAGGAGAGCTCAAGGCCAATACACTGGTGCTGAGATCCAGACGGAAGGTCTCAAGGGGAGGCGTGCTCAGCGATGCGGACACCGCAGAGAAGCTGAACAGAGTAAAAGTGTGCCCACGACAGACAGGATTCTATTGCAGAGACAAGGTAGTCTTCTATACCCAAATATCAACCACAGAAATGCCCTAATGAAGCAAAATAAGGCCCCTGTTCACTGGAATAAGGCAAGGATTCCCTTAGGGCAAGAACCCAACTCTGAATCCAGTGAGGCAGGAAGAGCGAGCTAAGGGGGACAAAGGACACAAAGGCCCAACAGAAACCCAAACACGGTCATTTAACAAGTATCTGTTGAGGGTCTATGCGGCAGGTACAGTGCAAGACACAGGGATAAAATGGGCAAAAACAAGACACTGTCCATGTTCCTTGAGAGCCCCGTGCAGGGGGAGGGAGGATTCCCAGAGGCCGTGGCCCTCGAGCTGGGCCTGAAGAACCAGTGGGTGCTAATTACCATGTAGGTCTCTGCTCTCCCTCGCAAACTGCTGAGTTTAGTGTTACTTTTAAAGTCACCGTAAAAGTTACTAAAAGATGCTGTGGCATCCTATGTGCTACCTTTGTTAGGTGTTTCATACTTTCCAGCCAGGCTGTATATCTCTTAAAGGAAAGGACCACATATGTTTCCTTTACTCCCCATAATATATGGTATAACATCACGCAGAGAGGGCAAAAAAACACAAACTGTCAAATCCAAAATCAGAAAGGAGGTTAAGGTCCATGACGCCAAAATAACTATTTTGTGCTCTGCTTTTTTAATGATGATTTTTCTTTTTAAATCATGCCAACGCAGGGACTAGGGAGACAAACAGCTGACCACTGGCTGACATGCACACTTCCTGCTGTTCGTCAGACCCATGGGCCCCTCGCACCTCACCATGCGATATTTTTTTTTTAATCTTACCTTTCATTTATATACTACTTTATACTTTCAAAATACTTCAAATGTCAGGATATAAATGTTCATAAATGGCCGTTGGATTTGGGGAAGCAACTACCCCAGCAAAAGCCCCGTTTTAGCTCCAGTATTTAAAAAATCAGTGCTAATCTTCAGACTTCCTAGTGAAGTCAAAGCACACTCTTGATCTTACACGGGCCCAGAAACATTCAGAAAGAGTGTGTGTCATTCGTGTAACCAAGAAGGAAAGAAAGGAAACTATGCAGAGATAAGAAGGTCCTGGGGTCTTAAACCATCAGTCTCCTCTTCCACTCTCCTCAAACAGGGTATGCTTACAATTTTTTCTCCTCTCAGGATCCCTGCTTGTGATTTGAGGAGCACCAAAAAGGAAAAAAAGAAAACATTCGACCCTAAACAAAAGAAACGGCAGAGTAAAAAGTACGTGTTTTCTTTCTTATAAAGTGAAAAAAGGGGCTTCCCTGGTGGCGCAGTGGTTGAGAATCTGCCTGCTAATGCAGGGGACACGGGTTCGAGCCCTGGTCTGGGAGGATCCCACATGCCGCGGAGCAACTAGGCCCGTGAGCCACAACTACTGACCCTGTGCATCTGGAGCCCGTGCTCTGCAACAAGAGAGGCTGCGATAGTGAGAGGCCCGCGCACCGCGATGAAGAGTGGCCCCCGCTTGCCGCAACTAGAGAAAGCCCTCGCAAAGAAACGAAGACCCAACACAGCAAAAATAAATTAATTAATTAATGTCAGATGCAGGCTTGTGACATCCTCTGTCACACAGGGGAGGACGTAAGTCAGGCACAGCAGATAAGCAAAGCTTTCACTTTAAAAAAAAAAAGTAAAAAAATTCAATGACTTTTCCAAATTGCCCTACTCTCAGCAAGTTAACATATTCTACCTTTATTAATGCCTGTTCTCAACCTAAAAGTCTCTGTATTAATTTGATTACTACTAACCTTGTTAGTGGGCATTAGCATATCAAAGTGTGTAGGTTGAACATGGAATATTCTAGATTGTACTTATGCCTGCTCTTGTTGCTAAACTGAATAGTTAATACTACTTACCATCCTCCAAAATATTAGTGCCAACAATATTTTGAACAGCAGCATTTCGTTAGCCTCGGTCCACTGGACCAAATTCTAGTATTTAAGTTTATTTTTTGAGCAATTATAACTATTTGTATAAACTGGTGTTTCATGACTTTTATTCTCTCTTATAGGTCTTCCAAAGAACAAAAAAGAAAATCTATTTTTTGTTTAATAGAATAAAATTCAATTTATCTTGCAATTACAATACAGGTCCATGGACCTATTTATAAACCTAAGATACACTATGTGATCTTGGTGAGTTTGTTAACTATAATTTGAAGAATCACACTATTTCATCATCCTAGATCTTATTTCATCATTATTCATCCATTATTCTCAACTATGCTAATAAATATTAAAGACTAAATTATAAGAAAATTGGAGAATGACGGAATCACCTAGGAAGATGATATAATAGTGAAAGAAATAATTAACCTTTCTTATTGTATTGCCCAAAATATTGCATCACTTTTAAGAAAGTAAAAAGACTGGAAACACCATCTGTGCAGTCCACCTTTAAGTGTCTGTGCGGAAAAGAGTTAACGTCATGGTCCGGAGACAGCTATCCTCAGAAAGGGCTGCCTGCAAAGCTGGCCCTTGGCTGACTTGAGGGAATTTGACTGGTAATCCGTTCCCTACACGGAAACCAAAGTTCTCCGAAATGACAGGGAAAACTAAACTGTGTGCACAAACAGGATGCTTGTGCTTGTGGTGAGCGCCTGCTCTCCTGCTGGAGCCTGGAACGTTCCATATGAGGTAGAGGGAGCCGATGTGACACACCTCCAGGGAAACCGGGGGCCCTGAGTCGCTAGAGTCTCCTGCACAGGAACCTCACACAAGACATTTTTTTTAACAAACCTTCTTTTAGATGATTAAATGTATTCATTTCTTTGAAATTGTCAAGGAGAGATGCTTTCAAATGTTACTCCACAGTCAAAATAAAGGGCGCTCACCAGTTCACCCCGTCTGCTTCCACCCAGGCAAAGCGGTACTCGTTGACTCGGAGCATCAGCTGCAGACACCCGGCCACACACTGCACGTACTGAGAGCTCTGTGCAGGGAGAAGCACAGTGTTTAAAACTGGAAAGCACTTCAAGTCACAAGGTCATGCAGATACCAAATTCTGGAGTGGTTTTTACTAGAGTTTATCATCTGAAAAGTCTAGAAGTCTCAAATATTTCTTCAAAAGTCAATCCTTGTTGCTCTTCTCTCATCCTCCTAGAAACGAAGCCGACTTCTTTTGCCAAATTAAGCCTACACGGCTCAAGCCCACTGAACACATCCAGTCAGGGAAATAAAGGAACAAAGTAATTATGCCTTTGATATGGTTTGATAAACAGCTTATTATCTTGCAATGTTTCACTTAGCCCTGAATAGAAGCACGATACAGAGGATACTGCTCTTCATAATTACACAAGTATCAAAGAACAACAATAAAATGAAAGAGATAGAAGCGTATGCTTTGAGACAGACCCATATCTGAGTGACCGTGAGCAAGTTTCCGAACCTTGTCAATGCTCAATTTCTTCATCCTTACTGAGGATCATGCCCCCAAGCACCCTGAAAGGGTCCTCTTAGGATTAAGTAAAGTAATTCATTTAGCACAGAGCTAGACATGTCACAGAAACTCAATAAATAAGAACTTAAAAAATAAAACTATACAGCACATAAGAAGTCTACTTAAACACTTGAAAAAGACTGATTTTTTTTTAAACTATCAGTTCAACAGGCACTATGTTAGAGAAATTGAGGTTAAATCTGAAGCTTGAAATAAAGAGAACAAACATCCCCAAGAAGCTGCTCGCTCCTCCATGTTAGGAAAGCTGGTAGTGACACCTGGCCTGGGCGCCTCCCTGAATACCTACCATGAGCCTTACACCTATAAGAAATGGAGGGACAAGCAAGAAGCTGCTTGCTTCTCCATGTTAGGAAAGCTGGTAGTGACACCTGGCTTGGGCGCCTCCCGGAATACCTACCATGAGCCCTACATCTATAAGAAATGGAGGGACAGTCTTAAAGAACATGCTAACAAAAAGAAAGAACGGAGAGGATCGTGGATGTCATATAAATTCACAAAACCTAATATACATGATGCCACTTCAGTTCCATGTTTTAACTTAAACTAAGTTTGCTAAAACCTAACACTTCAAAGAATTCCAGGCACTCAAATACAAAAACACTATGATATATTTGGAGGAATAATCAAAGTTATCATGAAAAGGTTATCTTAGATTTTACCAAGAAAGGAGTGAACACAGTTGCCCAAAAGCACACTATATCCAGTAACTTAATTTGCCTGAAAACTCAAAACATTCGCAGAAATTAATGACAAAAAAAAAAGTGAATTTTCAGCTCGAAAACCATCTTCCATAATGGGAAAAATATATATATGTATTTTTCCAATTAGGTCAGCAGCTAACTAACCCTTTGTGCAAAGAATTCCATCTTCCTTGTTTAGAGAGACAGCCTAAGCAAGGTTTCTACAATAATGAATGAAAGGCAGCCTAGGGCACTCTCTCCTCTTCCACTTATCATCGATTTCCTCTCAACACAAGAATTTCTTGGTTCACTGTTAAGTATTTTTCTTGTCTGTGTCCACTTACCCTACTATGTTGAAATACATGACACATTTAAAAAATGGATTCTTCGTTGCTAGTTACAGCTTCAGGACTCACATATAAATGAGCATATAAAAGATGCTGCTTCAGCACTGTTTACAACAGCCAGGACATGGAAGCAACCTAAGTGTCCGTCGACAGATGAATGGATAAAGAAGATGTGGCACATATATACAACGGAATATTACTCAGCCATAAAAAGAAATGAAATTGAGTTATTTGTAGTGATGGACCTGGAGTCTGTCATACAGAGTGAAGTAAGTCAGAAAGAGAAAAACAATACTGAATGCTAACACATATATATATGGAATCTTAAAAAAAAAAAAAAGGTTCTCAAGAACCTAGGGGCAGGACAGGAATAAAGATGCAGACATAGAGAAGAGGGGGAAGGGTAAGCTGGGACGAAGTGAGAGAGTGGCATGGACATATATACACTACCAAATGTAAAATAGATAGCTAGTGGGAAGCAGCCACATAGCACAGGGAGATCAGCTCGGTGCTTTGTGACCACCTAGAGGGGTGGGATAGGGAGGGTGGGAGGGAGATGCAAGAGGGAGGAGATATGAGGATAGATGTATACGTATAGCTGATTCACTTTGTTATAAAGCAGAAACTAACACACCATTGCAAAGCAATTATACTCCAATAAAGATCTATTAAAAAATTTTAAAAAGATGCTGCTTCTAATGGTACTGATGAACCTAGCTGCAGGGCAGGAATAAAGAGGTAGACACAGAAAATGGACTTGAGGACTTGGGGTGGGAGGGGGAAGCTGGGGCGAAGTGAGAGTAGCATCGCCATATACACACTACGGAATGTAAAATAGGTAGCTAGTGGGAAGCAGCTGCATAGCACAGGGAGATCAGCTGGTGCTTTGTGACCACCTAGAGGGGTGGGATAGGGAGGGTGGGAGGGAGGCTCCAGAGGGAGGGGATATGCGGACATGTGTGTGCATATGGCCGATTCGCTTTGTTGTGCAACAGAAACTAACACGGGATTGTGAAGCAATTGTACTCCAATAAAGATATATTAAAAAATTTTTAAAAAGATGCTGCTTCTAAAACTTCACTCTCTCCTGTGATGCACCATGAGGCAGTCCAATTCCAGTCCAGAGATTATTTTCAAAGTACACAGTGAAGGCAACACTGATAAATGACTGAGGTACTGCCTTCAATCAAAGTAAATTGTATCACTGCCTTACCTTTCTCTCACATTGTCCTGTTAGTCTCATGTACAAAGTTATTCAATGGTTTTTTTAGAAGAAAATAATCAGCCTTCAATCAACCCAGCGAGCCACCGACTCTTCCCCCACACAGAGGTCATTCAAACACTGCTGGAGAAGACTGCACAGCCACGCAGAGCCATCAGGAAGCTCTGCTCTCCCCGCCACACCCAGAGCCACGCTCACACCTTCACCTCTACCCTCCTGTCCCGCTCTCTTCCCTCACCTCAGCACTGAGAGAAAAAACAGAGACCATCAGCTAGCGAGTCACTGAGCTGCCAACATCGCGCCCCCAACTGAACTTCCCTGACGGCCCTTCTCACCTCCCTCTCGCCGAGCAGAGGCAGACAGCTCTTCCTGTCCAGGACCCACGGCCCCAGCAAGGCCTGTGTCCCACTCCTCCCACACAGCATCGCATCAGTCCGACCCCTCCCTGTAGCTCCGATCTGTTTGACAGGTTTCCTCTCCTCAGCCCCTAAATATACTCAATCTTTCCCGTCTTAAAATTATCCCTAAACCTTGTACCAATCTCAGCATCTTTCTTCCTCCCAACGCATGAAGTTTTCTTGACAGAATTATCACCAGGTTCTTACCTCTCTGATACCTTATCACTCCACCAACATGGCAAATGCCAGGACCAGCAGTGACCTTAAAGTGCCAGGTCCAACAGTTACTCTCCCCCAGAGAACCAGACCTCTACCTCCAGCTGCTTCCGGGAAAGCTCTCGCCCCTCCTTTCTCCAGCTGAACTGACTCACAGCTCCAATGTTAACTCCACCACCATGAAAGAAAGGCAGTAATGTAGCCTAACAGTTACGAACAAAGGCTCTGGAACCAGCCTGCCAGGCTCAGCCACTTCCAAGCCGTGTGCCCTTGAATGAGCCTCCCACCTATAAAATGGGGATAACAGGGCACATCCCATGGGGTGTGGGGATAATCTCATTAGCTAATATATGACAGACTGGGCTGAGAACCAGCTACAATGTGTACTCTCAAACACACAAACCTCCCTGGTAGAGAAGAACTAACTTTACTTCTCAACACATTAAGAGAACATCATTAGATAAATTTTCTAATATTGCTGAAAATGCAAATTCTCCTATATTATGGTGGAAAAATCACATAAGGAAAACAGCAACTGACAGAATTCACCTTCCTGGTGAAGAGGGTCTCCCAGATCCATATTCTGCAGAATTACAAAGTAATTCAAGAAGTGAGGAATTACAAAGCAAGTAGGCAACGAAAGATAAACATAAGAACTGCAGCCACATTGTACCAAAGTAAATCTCATGCTATTAACAATGTTTATAGACCAATTTTCAATATCTATCTCCATAATGCTGGGATTTAAGTACAAACTAAATGAGAAAAAATAAAGATAATATTCCTCTAAATTTTGGAATCAAGGGTGCTTAAAAAAGAAAAAAGACGTCTGCAGTGCAGAGAAGAGTACCTGTCTCAGATGCAGTGGAAACACACGTGTGTCCAGTGGTATCAGCGAAGCACAAAGCTGAGTTTGTAGAACACACCATAGACCAAAATAAACCCCAGAAGCCAGTTTTACATGAAATCCTCCAGGACTGGTGATTAACCAATCCCAAAAGTATTCAATGTGTCATGACTATTAAATGAATCTTTTCTCATAGAACTAAAAAGTGAGTGTGCACATCTTATGTGTGGAACAACTGGAACTCTCCTACTTTGCTGGCGACGTGTAAACTGGTTTAGAAAAGTGACTGGACTGCTGGACCTAAATTCACATGTAACCTGTACCCCAGCAACTCCATTCTAGAAGTGCTCCAGGCGTAAGTGGTTACATCTACCAAAGGCCATGTACAAGGATGTTCATAGCAAGATATTCACAACAGCCAAGAACCAGAACTAACTCAAATGTCCATCAATAAGAGTATGGATAATATACATTTAATATATTACTACACGGCAATAAAGAGATGAACTACTGCCAAGTGCAACGTGAGTGACTCTCACTGACACAATACTGCACAAGAATTCGGACACACAAGAGTTCACACTGTGTATGATTCCACTTTTATGGAGTTCAAGGTCAGGCAAAACTAATGCATAATAACGAAAACCTTTGTGGGAGCCGAGGCGAAGGAACGTATTGAGTAGGACACATGATGTACAAATGCATTCAGCTGAACATTTAAAAATCTGTCTATTTTACTCTATGTAAGCTGTAGGGGAACAAAATTTGCCACTTTAAATGGGTCCCTTTGGCATGAGGATTCTTTTAGGGTGGTTATTTTTTTGAAAGCAGAGGATTCAAGAAGTCTGTCTTTGTACCTGCCCCTTAACGGCCTAAAGAACTCAGACAAAGGCCCTGGTCCAGGAAGGGCACTGTCACCGGAGATCTACAAAGAACACGGGTCGGCGCTGGGGGGAGCTGCACAGGGCCGGGAGACCAGAGTCCTCTGTGTGTCCCACTGTCCCTGCGGGCCCAGCAAGCATCTGTCACCAAACATCTGCTTTCCCACCTCCGTGTGAACTGCCTTCTCCCCGCTGAAGTCCCCCACCCCGCACCCCCTTCTCCTCTCAGGCGCCACATCTGTGGCCTCATATTACGGGGCCCCTGTACATACGTAATTACGTCTGGCTTTCTCCTGTTAATCTGTCTCACGTCAATTTAATTCTTTGGCCAGACAGAAGAACCCAGAAGGAGCAGAGCATAATTTTTTCCTCCCCAACGAAGTTGTGACATAAAAATAAGTGACCAAAGAAAGGAAGGGAGGCAAAGAGGGAGAGAGGTTTTGTCAGTCAGAAGTTCTGCCAATTTACCTTTGGCAAATCACTTTAAACTCTTCAAAATTGTTGTCTCATCAATAAAGGAAAGCAATACCAGCCCAATTTTTAAAAAACAGCCTTAAATTAAAAAACAAAACAAAAACAAAAACCTCTGCTACTCAAATCTGAACTCACATCAGTTAAACACAAAACAACTGTAAGGTACATTACCATCATTATTATTCTTGTCGTTATTATTACTTCATATTCAGGAACTAAAACAAATATAGTGCAAGAATTCTCTTGAAGTTGGCTTATTAAGAGAGACCCTCTAGTCAATACTCATAAAATACCTATATTAAATTAATACCTAAATTAACTTAAGATAATTTCGTCTTAGACTTAAGTCTTAACCAAGAAAGTAATTTCACTGTTAATTTACAAATTTATAAATCTCCTTCAAGTACTACTTTCAATCTAATTTTCTTAGGCGTATAATTTAATTACATGACTACTGGGATTCTTTATTGTAGGAAAAATTATTGCAGACTTAAGAAATATGATTTACTTTATAAATCACTGCTTTGTATGCAACTTCCAAGAACACATCCAATGTACAATATTAGGTTACCTTATTATTGTTATTGATGCTATAGTTTGAAAATGGTATGTAAAAGAAAGTCTGGTACTGAAATACTTTACCATTTAATTTTCCTCTGCATTGCCAGAATGTACGCAATCCTTCCAAATATCTGATCAGAAGGGCAAAACTGACAGGTTCTCATCTGTTCTCCTTTTCTTAATATTTATTCTTCGCATATATTTTAATGATCCACAATGTTTAAAACGTACTAATCTTGTGATAAGAGGATACAATGAAGGTCACCCAAACATTGCTGCAGGTGAAGAGCAAATGCTCTGAAAACCAGCACCAAGACACGTAATTGACTGTGAACATCTCTGGGTCCTCACAGACTTTACAAATCACAGGCTAGAGGGGCCAGAGTTAAACAAGAGGCCTGCACTCTGCGAACTCCTGACGCAGCCCCTCATGTCTGCTACTCGGGTAGCACTTTTGATACACTTATGGACAAACAGTGAAGAACCAAATCGTTAAAGTCCTCCAACTCTTCTGAAAGACTGAAAAGTCTTAAATTAAAAACAGAGCCTTAAAAAGTCAAAGCAGTAACACTACCTTCACATTAACAAGGATATTAGAACTGTCAGAGAAAACAATTTAAGGAATGTGGCCAAAAGCCAAAAAAGCTAGGCTTTTTTTTTCCCCTTTCATTCTAAAATGCTGTTATTACATGCTAAAACATGGATGAATCCTGAAAACATACGCTAAGTGAGAGAAGCCGGTCACGGATGACCACATATTACGTGACTTGTGTACAGAGAGTGGCCAGAAGAGGTGAATGCAGAGACGGAAAGTAAGTGAGGCGTTGCCAGAGTTTAGGCGAGGGCGTTAGGAACGGGGGTGACTGTTTCGGTGGACACGGTTTCTTTCTGGGGTGTGGAAAGCGCTACAAAATCAGATGGTGGCAATGGTTGCCCAACTCTGTAAATATACTAAAACCAATAGCAAATGGAAAGCTTTTATGGTATGAGAAACAGATTTCAATAAAGCTGTAAACAAACAAACCAAAAAGCCTACAAAAAACTGCAAGTTAACTCGCTCGCTCACATGTGCCAGGTTTCCAGGTGGTTAAGAGCCACGTGGGGCTACCAGGGTGGACACCGCAGATATAAAGAACGCTGCCATCACCCCGGAGAGTTCTACTGGACAGAACTGCTCCAGAACATTAAAAGGCAAGATAAAATGAGCAATATGGAGAACCTGGCAACTTACGTTACTTACTACCAACGAAACCATGTCCATCCAGCAATATGTGCGGCCGGACCTGGTCTACAACAGAGAACAGGACGCGCGAGTGGAGAGTTACCACGGTCCCCTGCACACAGGTATGAAAGAGGCTGGAGAGAGGGAAAAGAATGCCCAGATTCTCCTGACTCCTCCAAAGGCTGGGAGAAATCACGGTGTTCCTCTTTTTGTCAGGGCAGCGGCCCAGCAATCAACATCTAAGCCTGGGCGACGTCCTCGGAAAAGTAGAAGATTGATAATTCCCGTGCAAGAGCCAACAAAGAACTGAACGGACGGCTGAAGGTAAGTTAGGGTGAGTACATGCCATGTGATGGAGTTTATTATTTTTACATTTAGGTAAAAACAGCACAAATCATTTTCAGAAAATTTCATTTATATAATGTCATTTAAATAAAAATGTCTGTAATGATCCACTCATAACTTATGATGATGCTTCTGTGCCATTTTAAAAGTCAAGACTGTTGCATCCTGCTAATTTCTCATTTTGCTGTGTAAAGCTCTGTTCTGTTTGTTTTATACTGACATCAAGTGGCAACAGCACAGAATGCAGTTTACCAAACCTTTTCTACGCTGTCTGAAAACCTAAAGGGATTTTAAGATAGAACGTCGATATTCTTTACAGGTCTGAGTAGGTGAGGCAACCTGGAGAATGCCTAAAGCTCCCAGTCCAGTCCAGGTGCCTCGGAATCCTCTCGGTAAGGAATGCGTCCCCTTGGGGGTTCTGCCACCGTGAGCGGATGACCTTGGGCAAGCCGGTGTGCCTTTCCAGCCTCACTGCTCATCCCTAAAACGTGGCTTACGGTAAGACCAATGTCAAAGACGGGGTGTGAACATTCAAGGAGATGTAAATGCAAAATGACTAAAACACTGCCAGGCACACAGGAAGAGCTCCATACATACCAGCTACCAATTCCGATCCCCCTACTGAAATACAAGTATCAAAGGAAGTGCTATCACCTCTCTGTCAACTTCTTTAAGTCTCTGCCTTCCAAGCTGCCAGCCTTCTGAGAAGGTAGGAACCTCCAGCAAGGGCCAGGGAGGATGTTCAGGTGTGAAGCACTGAAGGGAAGAGGGAGGACATCAAAGGCCAGCTTTTCTTCACTCACAATCACCCCTGATGCTAATACCGTTTGGGACGTACGTGTCTGAGTCGACCGGATAAACCACTTTGACTAACCACTGCCAATTCAATAGATCAGCGCTGTTTTTCCCACACGCTGGACAGAAAAGAGCAAAAGAAGAATGTCATGTCGCCAGAGCTCGCACCTCACTGCGTGAGCTCTACTAACTTCCAAACACTTTAATAACCACTTAAGTTTATTCCGAAAACACCTTTTAAAGTTTTTACAAATAAGTCTAATTAGACAATTTTTCAAATCAAACAATTTTTCAAAATTTCAAACCGGTGGAAAGAAACTCAAGTCATATAAAATAAGGACTCCCAATTTAAACATCTGCTTATGGCTGAATATCTAGACTTCGAACCTACCACCTCCTTCCCCGACCCTGGCCCCAAGACTGCTCACTTAGTTCTATACCCTGTTCTGATTTCAGAAGACGTGTGGCCATTTTCCGGCTTGACACACTCACTGTTTGTCAAGTCCCTTGACCCGTGCCCCAAGAGAAACCCCACTCCTGGCTTTGAGATGGACTGTGTCGCCCTCTCTAGTCTACGAGCACACACACAGGGGTGTGGCCTGCGGGTTATGGACACGGACCCTGCGTGGCCCCCCCACAGCTCCGCTGAGGTCTAGCACAGGCCGGTGGGAGACACCGTCCTCGGAAGGTGCTTTCCGGTTTCCCAGAGATATTTCCAGCGAAGGAAGCTGAATACGCCTCACCTACCTTTTTAACTCTTCCCCCACCTCGCTCTCAGCTGGCGCTAACCACGCCAACCCATACTTGTCCAAATCTATTGGCAATTCTTGAACTAGTCTGAAGACAGCAAAGTTAAACCACTCCCAACCGGGGGGGATAACCCTAACCAGGAAAGGAACTGGGGGGACATGATTAGTTTTAACCTTTAACCTTTTGGCTCTACATAAATGTGGGGCAGGATTGGCCTGAAAAAGGGGGAGGGAGAGTCTGGCCACCACGTAGGCCCCCATTAAACCCTGAGCAACTCAGGCAAGTAGTGGGTTTTCGTACCAGTGGGGAACGGAACTGTTTTCAGCTGCCTGGCGCAGGGTCCGTGGATCTGTCAGACGTTAGCGTCTGTGAGACAGCTAAAGTGTTAAGAGAGGAGCTCTGGTTACTCCCTCGACTTGTGCATCTGAGTCCAGACTTGCTCTGATTCTCAGGCCTGAGATAAAGCCGCCTGAAGAGAAGAGCAACAGGAAGAGGAAGCCCCACATCCACCAGCAGCAGGAAGCAACCGCACGGCCCAGAAAGGCCTACACGCAGCTTTCACACCACCATTAACCCAACCAAATCCGCGGATTTACATCCGGGGGACTAGGGAACATCTTCAAAACGTTAAATGTCTGGGACTCAAAACAACTTAAATTCAGGGTGTTAGGAGGCCAGTGAACGAACAAGGAATGTACTTACATCGCTTGAAGAGACTGTTCCTGTTTCAACAGCAACACCGCTACCACGCAGTTTCTATTACGAAATAAATAACTTATTACTTAGTTTTGTTTTTAATTTTATCCTACTTCATAAGCTTACGAAAGAGAGCTAAGCAAATTTTATCACTGTTTTCCTAATCCTACTGAATGGAGTATCATCAACTAATAAAAAGCGTGGGGATGATACGAAATATTCTAAACGTCGTTACACTCTTCCGGATAATATCTTAATCAATAAATTATTTTAAAAGAAACAATAATAAACTGAATACTAAGTTCCAATTACATTTCATAAGTGAAGCGAGCGCAAATTTCCAAGTCTCAGGATTTACTTCCTGAGTCATTTTTCCAATGAGACAACTGTCTTAAGCTGAACTATCTACACGATACTCTGTGGCAAAGCTTTCAAAACAGGTGCCTGATGATGGGAAGATACTACATGGAACTTAAAAAATTAGGTTATCCACAGCAATGCTAACACATTATAATGACAATCAGAACCTCATCTGTTACACAGAAATAACCAAAGAAAATTTAAGGTAGAAAGTCAGAAGCTGAATATGCAAGAGAAAAGTGATAATGAATTTCTGAAAGGAAATTTTTATTTTGTTTTATTCAATAACTTATCTACTAAGTGCCAGGCATGAGCCCCTATAACCCAAGTATAACGGTTAAACTATTGGGAAAAAGGCTCCTAAATGTCTCTATAAAGTCAAAGAACAAAATATCCAAACTGGCACCTAATTCAGACTTTTGAAAGTCTACTTCTATCAGAATCATGAAAATGTGGTCCTTTTTATGAGGGAGAAAGCGCTTACGATAGAGAAAAAGAGACCTTGCAGATACAGTGCTATCACGTGGCATTTAAGCAAAGTAGAAAATAAAAGCCCGAACAAGCCTCTGCTTCATGCCTGTCACTACACCCTGATCAAAGGCTGTGGACAAGTGTCTGCCCACAGCAAGGGTGGTAGCCAGCCAGAGCCCAGCGGAAGCCGTGACCAGACTCTGAGGCACGGCTAGACGGGCCTGAAGCCTCTCCCTGGGGCAGGACGTGCAAAGCAGCAACGCCAGACAGTAACTGAACAAGGCCAAAGACTCGGCGATAAAAAGAGCAAGCGCGCTGGAAAGATACAGAAAGGTCTTTAAGAGCGTCTGTCTCACACCAATTCTAATGAAAAGTGTTCCAGACACTGAAATCTCTGCTTCCACTAGTGACCGGAGAAATATCCCCCCAATTGCTGGACATGGTTACAACCACAGCTAATCATTCTAAAACTAACCAATTATCTGTGAGGCAGAGCATAAATGTTACTCCTACGGGGAAAAGTCTAAGATGGAACAACCCCTAATGTTAGCGGCACACTGCAGCGTGCATTCTTTGCTACCAGATCTCATTTTATGAGTCCAGCTAGCATAGAGCCTTATTACCACCAGACCACGCCTAACACTGAAGCAGAATGAAGTTTCTTCAAAGGGAGAACTAATCTCATAAGAGGAAAAAGAAAGGGGGGGGCGGGTTACCTCTTTAAGCGCTCTGATCCCAAATGATACACATGTAGAAATAAATACATCTCATCTTCACATAGTATTTTTCATGTTCTAAGTACCTTCTTTTTGAAATATCTCACAAACTCAGTAAAATCTGCAAAACCTGTGACTCTTGTAAAAGTACTTTTAAAAACTAAGCCCAAAAGAGTGTTAAAGTGTATGCTGATGACAGAAAAAACAACTGATTTTGTTCAAGACACTTCAAAATCTCCCTATCCAAAGAGAAAAGGTCAGTAGGCTCCCCCCGCAAAAAGGCAGGCAACGATAAGACAAAAAATAAATCGAAGCAAAATGCATGGTGTCTCTCTCATACTTCAATTTAAAATCTACTAAAATCATAAAGTCACCAGCAACCTAAATTACAACTTTCCAAACCTTCATTTCAAATAGGCCCTTACTTGTCATCTAGCCCTGAGGCCACCAGGCCTCCCAGCACGGCTTCTCCTGGCCCATCCTCCATGTCCCGCCCACACCAAAGCTCGCCCCCTCCTGCCTTTCCTTCCGGATACAGATACGCCGCCCTCCCCACCCAGGTCAGCTCGCTCCTCTCCACGGCTCGCTCCCTCCAAGCACCCTCACCACCTCTCACTTGGTCACCGGACACCTAAAGGAAAAGCAACCCTCCACTGAGCTGTCAGGAGTGTCCGGCCATCCGCCCTGCACTGGGGAACCGAGAAGACAAAAGGGAAAACTCGTCATCTGCCAGCCGTCACCCTGAAAGCTGTCCTCCTCCACGAAGAAACGGGCTCGAGGGCCCTGACAGCAGCGGGACCACAGCAAGCAGGCTTCGTGTTTCCCTTTGGGCTTAAATGCAACCCCACAAGGACACGGTAAAATCCTAAGTGGGAGTCACTGAGGGAGACATCCTCTCGGGCTGGAGAGAGCAGCCCCAGTTCACCCAGTGGTGCCTGGGACGGCCTCCTGGCCAGGACTAGAGGCGGGCTGCCTAATGAGCTGTCCCGTGCTGTCTGCAGTCTGAAGCCCTCCTGGCAGCCGCCAGGGCCAGTTTATTTATTGGTGTGACTAGTCAGACAGTTTGGCCTGGGTATGTGACCAGAGGGCATAAAGGAACCACTGCACACTTTCGAAGAACTCTCCCCAAACCAAGACTCCTGGCACCGATCTGGGTGGTCCAGGGTCCCAGGGCAGAAATGCTCGCCCATCGCACTGTCTCTCCTCCTCTCTCGTGAGCCTCACACGAGTGTACCCTTGGAGTTGTGTGCGTCCTTCCAATCCTCCAACCCGTGTGATCTCGGCAGCCACCTTCCTGGAAGGGAAATCCTCCCTACCTGCTGAAATGCATGAAGGGAAAATCCCGAGTGACAGAGGAGACAGGAAGCTCTGAGCTGAAGCCAGTTACAGGCAGAAAAGGTGAAGCCCCTACCAGACCTGCAAGGAACATGGCTGACTCATCAAACTCAGAATGCCTCTTTTTTAACAGAGTTTTTGTAATTTCACATAATTACCATAAATAGCTTTAGAGAACATGGACGTTATGTTCTTTTCAAAGATACTAAGAGGAATGTCTTTTACCTGTGAACTCAGCTGAGTCTTTATCCAATTGAAATAGTAATTTAAGTCACTGCCTTCCATCAATTCTTTTCCCCAAGCTGCTAACTTGGCAATAATTCTTGCTGCCTGAAAAATAAGAAATACATTTGAATATTATCCTGATTCTAAAAATCACACCATAGACCCTAAGAAACAGGACTCATAACCATTTTGCTGCAGGATTTCTTTTAGCACTCAACTCCTCCAAAGATAATAGATATTTCATTTTTAAAAATATTTCTAATATGGTCAAAGGTAGTTTTAAATAGTTCCGTTAACGTGAACCAAAACCAGTTGTGTTTTAAGAATTTCACGATATTCCCTGCATTATTCTGAGTTTCAAAAGTAAGATTAGGATTCATTATAAGACCAGCAAAAATCAAAGAACACAAAAATCCTTCTTTGTGACTTTCACCGAATCAGTTGCCAGAGTTCTGAGCAATGGCTCCAACGAACTGCCAGCCGCTGCCTCGGCCACTCAGGCCCCTGCGAGCTCTCGGTTCCAAACCTGTGTCTCGGTATAAAGTATATCCTGGGTATTGGTATAAAATATATCCTGGGTATTGGACAGTCATCTCTCTCAGTAGAAGCAAACACCCTTTTCTCCTCACTCAAAAACTTCTCAATTTTCTTCAAGCTATAAAATGAATCACGAAGAGAGGGTGGGAGGGAGATGCAAGAGGGAGGAGATATGGGGATAGATGTATACGTATAGCTGATTCACTCTGTTATACAGCAGAAACTAACACCATTGTAAAGCAATTATACTCCAATAAAGATGTTAAAAAAAATGAATCATGAATATTTTTATTAAATAGGCAGTATAAGTATATTTTATCAAATCATCATGTTGTACACTTTAAATACCTTATAATTTTGTCAATTACACCCCAATAAATCTGGAAATATATAGATATAGATATACCAGGGGGAGGGGGGAAAAGCAGTATAAACTACTACTTCTCCACCCACAAACCCAATTTAATAAATATTCTTTGAGTACTTTCTATAAGCAAGTTAGTGTTTCAAAGCTCTCATCATTCAGCAAGAGTTAATCCTATTAGAGACCGTGAAGGCTGATTAGCTAAGCCAAAAATACACTGAGGTCTGTTCCCAGACTTGCACACAGCGAGCGAGGTGACAGAGGGCAGCGTGTGTCGTGGCACATTCGGGAGCCTGCACCACGGGGGAGGGGGGGCAGAGCCCAGCACCCCGACGCCCTCACTTTGCAGTGACATGCAGTCGTCTTCACGTGCCTCGCTAAGTGAGTTCACAGACACGCTATCTAACTTAAACTGACCTGTCACAAAACAGATAAGTGACACGAAAGGATCCCTATAAGGAAACTGGAAATTGAAAAGCTGATCAGCAGTGTAAGCACAAGCTAAGGGGCAAAGACAGAGGAACACGAGGCCTGGCGCTTCCTCTCCGAGCACAAGCTCTTCATCAGCACGGGGTAAACCAATGAGCGTCTGACCCTCAAAATGTGAAAGATTAGCCAAAAGTAACTGAAATCATAAAGAAATGGAAACACAGACTTGGCTACACCATGAATAACGATGAATCTTACCCTAAATGTGTATTTGGCCTTTAACACATTTGTCAATTTTATTATAAGACCATCAAAATTAGGAAAATGTTTAAATCATGTTTCCAGACAGTGAAAACAAGCCTCTACACAATTTGAAAGCAGAAAATATATTACTGTTTTTTTTAAAATACTCTTTAAAATAGTTTATTTCATGGGTCATCCTTTTTAATTTCTTTTTACGAATGTTTCATACAATATATGAACATACTAATACATAAATGAATACAGATATATATGGAGAGAAAGAGAAAGCGTGTGCTCAAAACTGTTTCACTGACAGTGGATCTTGCTGCGAAAATGTAGACATCTATGAAATGCAGCCTCAGGAGCGTCCCCTGCAGCCCACAATACGCTAGGAACAGAAAAGGCCTGTACAAGGACTGATTCTCTGATCGTCCTCTCAGACCTGCTCAGTGTTAACACTTCAAAAGATAGCCTTTCAGGCTAAGTTTAAAACAGAAGTGTATCTAAGATATTAAAAAGCAATTAATTAACTACTTAATTAAAATAAAAATTAAACACAACAGCTGCTTCAAAGCAAAATTTAATTTCTATAGTAAAATGCAGTTAATTCTGTCACAGACCACCTAAAGCTGTTTGCACATGGGAATTTACCACACTTTATTTTTAAATTTTTATTTATTTATTTGTTTGTTGTTTGTTTGTTTATGGCTGCGTTGGGTCTTCATTGCCGTGTGCGGGCTTTCTCTAGTTGCGGTGAGCAGGGGCTACTCTTCGTTGAGGTGCGCGAGCTTCTCATTGCAGTGGCTTCTCTTGTTGCGGAGCACGGGCTCTAGGCACACGGGCTTCAGTAGTTGTGGCTTGCGGGCTCTAGAGCATAGGCTCAGTAGTTGTGGCGCATGGGCTTAGCTGCTCCACAGCATGTGGGATCTTCCTGGACTAGGGCTCGAACCCATGTCCCCTGAACTGGCAGGAGGTTTGTAACCACTGCGCCACCAGGGAAGCCCTACCAAAGGCTTTTATCTCAATGAGCTCATCAAATGCTCTACAAACTTGAACTGTGTCAAAGCAACCCTGCCTCCTCTGACCTCCCAACACCCCACATTACTAACATCCAATAAGGAAGCGCTGCTTTGAAAAGTCAACGTCAGAGCGGTCACTCCTCTGGGTACTGGGACATTACCAAGTCACAACCGGCCCGGGTGCATTTCTTCCCTGAATCAGAAATGTGACCAATTCAAAACTTACCATATGAACAGTAAAGAGATCCTGGCGATTCAACATGGGCAGAAAGTAGGACCAGGCAGTGTTCTTGCTACGTTTAGCATAGTCAAAGAAAATGCTAACGCGCTGGTGATTTTCCTAAAAGAAATAAACATCACTGATCAGAACGCATTTTCCTAAAGAATGTAACGATTATACACTGCTTCTCAGCCTTTCATTTTATGTCCCCCTCAATCCATGTTTTCTCTTTCCAGTCGGTATGAGATTTGTCTCCCTGTTATTATTACAATGGGGCAGGGGGTGACGATGGGGGCAGGGGGAGATAGTTTTAAGTAAAATCACCTTTAATTATTATGATTAGTTTAAATCAGGTGAGCCACGATAACAGACCCCCACCCCCACCCCCCGCAGGTGTAGCACCTGAGTTACATCTCTCCTCAGCCTGCCCCTCAGTGCTGTCTGGACACCTCCACCCTCCTTCCACACAAACAAAATCGGGAAGGGCAGGGAGATCCCAATTCAGCTCTCGATGGGAGGACCAGCAGGAAGCACTTCAAGCTACTCACAGACAGGCCAGGGAAACAGGGCATCAGAGAAACCTCGGACATCTGGGTTACCCTTACACACTGTGACAGGAAAATCGGGGCACATAACGACAGCAAAGAACAGCATAGCATACCAGCAGGTAGATCAGAGGAACGATTACTTCTTAGTTGAAACCATGCAAACTCTACCTGTCACTGAAATTTTCTCTGCATATCGCTGGCTGAAATCCACTATCTGGTTCACTAAGTGAACACGGTGGTTAAGTAGCAATATTTGGTAAACAGCACAAATAACCACATAAACAATAATTTTAACTCTCAGATCAACATTTAAATCTTTTTAAATACAGTGGTTTTAACTTTGGTCTGTGCTAGCAGTTACCTATTTGAGGAGTAGACTACTATCTCTTTAAGTAACAAATCATTATAGTCTAGACTAACAACTGAAATAGTTATGATAACGAGTTCATCAAAGAACTCGAAGTTCAGGTAGGTCTTCATTAACTCCACTGGTGGACTATTTTCAAAGCTAAAATTGTAATTCTCATTGTACATGTAAATTAACAAAGTCCCCTACACACAGAAAGAGCAGAAACTGTCACACGTTTAACTAAGGTTAAAACCCATCTTCCTCAACAAGTCCTTCATGGATTTGATTCCTGCTTAAAAACGCACCTCCAGCCACTGCCACTCCAAGCACCCAAATCCACACCTTTAACAGAATAAGGATAAAGCCCTCTCAGAGGCACTGAGCAACTGATACTAATATGCGAGCACAGAAAACATTTTAATCTTCAAAATTATGTGCTAAAAACTAAACACGTGAGGAAAAACAAGCAATTCTTCCCCCAAAGTATTCCATTCGGATGTGTTAAGAATAAAAAGACTGGATTGGAAATGTGTAACAATAGTCTTTAAATGTCACACAGACTCACGTGGTGAAAGTGTGCGCAAATTTCTCGATGTAACCCAAATTTTACCAATAAGATCAATTGTCAGAATACGTTTAATCAGTAGCTAAGGATAATGGCAGCTACCTACGTCTAAATCTCTCCACAGATCTTTCATTAACACAGGTCAACAAGAACAAATGAAACTATACACGTGAAGATGTCCTGCCTCGGACACCGCCTTGATTGGCAAAAATGTAAAAACCTGACAGTGCCTTCTGTTGGCAAAGCTGTAGGGAAACAGGCATTCTCAGACGGTGGGAATACAAAATGGAATATTTGGCATTATCTTAACAAAACTGCATACGTGGTTCTCTTTTATCCAGAAATCCCATTTCTAAGGATTTACCATGAAGTACACTCCCAACAATAGGAAAACACATTTGCATAAGGTTATTATCTTCATTATTTCTAATTACAAAATATCGTAACTGCTTTCTGCCCGACATCTTAGCGAGGCCTCAGTGGTAGCAGCTGCCCTCCAAGCTTGAGATGCCCCCAAAGAGAAAGATGCCAGAAAGTCGGCCACTAAGGACAAAGACCCGGAGAACGATCTAAGGGCAAAGCCAAAAAGAAGAAGTGGTCCAAAGGCAGAATTCCGGACAGGCTCAGGAACCTGGTCTTCGTAACAAGGCCGCACGCGGCCAACTCGGTAGGAAGCTCGCAACCCCAGCTGTCGCCTCTGAGAGACGGGAAGATTCGTGCTTCCCTGACCAGGCCAGCCCGTCAGGAGCTCCACAGGAAAAGACCTAGTGATGGCTTTTAAAACAGCTCAAGTAACTTACACGAGAAACACCAGAGGTGGAGATGCCCCAGCTGCTGGGAAGATGCATGAGTGGTCCCACCAACTGCCCATTTTGAAAAATAAAACTTTATTAAACCCAGTATATGTGTACCTGAACCAACCTCAATGGCTATTACATCAGAGGCCGATTAAGTAAAATATGGTATATCTACTAATGTCCTCTGTAGCTGTCAAAAAAAATATGGGAGATTGAACTGAAATGGAATGATTTCTGGCATATTGTTAAGTGAAACAAACAAAATACAACAGACTACGTCTAGTATGTATTTCTGTATAAGAAAGAGAGGGAAATAAGAAAATACATGTGTACCTGTACGCAATAAGAAAAACAGGAAGGACAAACAGAAGTCTACGACATTATGACCTACAAGAGGTGGGTGGGAGTGTGGGCAAGGGGGACTGGGGACACACCTTTCTGTATAGTTTTGACTTCTGGAAGCATGTAAACGTTTTACATAATAAAAAATAGTAAAAACCAACAGGGATGAGGAAAAAAATTGAAGTAGATTACAAACAAAAATAAATGAAGCTATTTCTGGAAAAATAATATAACCACACTAAAACAAACCTGAACACAATACTCTGCACAACCTCGTTTAAAGACAAAGTACTGCAGACAAATACTGAACTCCAGGCAAAGGGCTTTTTTTCAGGTATGCGGGTCAGCAATTCTGAGCCGACTTCCTCTGTATCACGGGTGAGTAACAGAGGACAAGATGACTGTGCCCACTCGCCGGCAGAGAAGACAATCCAGCATGGAACGGGGGCCTGGCATGAACTCGGGGGCGGGGCGGTGGAGGGCACAAACTGGAGATGCTCTGTGTGAACTCACGGTTCTTAATTTACGGGTTTGTAAATGTGTATAAAAATCGAGGGAATTTGTGCATGTGTGAGTGTGGGTGGGTGGGTGTGTACCTATCAGTAACACCAGGGTCTGCAGGCCAGCTCACGGCCTCCTCATTCTAGTCCAATCATAGTAACAAGGGTTACCAAGGCAGACCACAACACTCCCCATTTATCCTGACCTTACTTTCCTAAAGGAAAAAGTGCCAAGAAAGACGGAGATCATTCTCAGACGGGCTTGCATCAGTCCAGGCTGGACAGCCATCCTGAGATGATTAAATCACAACATCCCTGTAAGTAATACGATGGCCCCTAGATGGGCAGCACCCTTCCTCCTAACCTCCGAGTCCTCGGGAACAGTTCGCCCAGTGGTTGCACACAGTAGGCCAGCGATAAATGCTCTTCCTTGTAAAATGACAGACGGACGCCCTCCAAGCAGCCAGACTGACTCTTTTCTTCAAGAGACAGGCAGACTCTTGAGTCTTCAAGACTCTTTTCCCTGAGACGTGCAGACAGGCCTTGGATTTTGCAGCCAGTTGGCCTGTTCCAGAAAGACTGCTCTCAATACAACAATCTAAACCTAGATTATACTCGAGTATAAAATACAATATTGTGGGGGCTTCCCTGGTGGTGCAGTGGTTGGGAGTCCACCTGCCAATGCAAGGGATGCGGGTTCGTGCCCCGGTCCGGGAACATCCCACATGCCGCGGAGCAGCTAGGCCCGTGAGCCATGGCCGCTGAGCCTGCGCGTCCGGAGCCTGTGCTCCGCAACGGGAGAGGCCACAGCAGTGAGACGCCCGCGTATCGCAAAAAAAGCAAAAAAACAAAAAAAACAATATTGTGAATAAGGGAGGCCCTCTGTGTTTACGGACAACAAAGCAGTAAATAGAAACTTCACATCACTGGAAAAGTCTCAGATGATAGCCAAAATGCTCTCCAAAAACACCATGTTTCTGAGGGCAAGCACCTTGACTACAGTCAGCACTAAACCCCCAGGGCCTGGCCCTGGCCCGGGACACAGGGGCACTGAAATCTGCTGAATGACTGGAAGAAAAGAGCCACATCATCTGTGAGTAGGCAGAGCATCCGGAAAGCCTCAAGGGATGCACAGAGCACTGCTGCTGTCCAACACAGAACTCTGAGGAAATACAGCAAAAAGACATACTGAGTCCCCAACATCCTAAAAACAACACGCTAGCCAGTGTGTGGGCAGTCCCATCTTTACCACCATTAGCAAATTACAACTCACACAATGAAGAAAAATATACTATCACACTCTGGAAGGGAACCAGTGCTCTAGGTGAAAGCTTACAGAAGTGCTGTTACTGGGAGAGCACAAAAAGGTGAGGACCAAACGTGTCAGGTGAAGAACACACCCACCTGCAGCGTGTCATCAACCATGGTGAGTATGTACTGAACCGTCTGCTCTTTGGAGATGTGAGTCATCAGATTTATAAATGTCTTAGCACACTAGAAAAAAATGAAATGAACGTTAACCACTGTTTTCAAATGTGCAAACACAACATTTTAATGGAATTTCATTAAAATATTTCTCTTGCCTAAGTTAGGATGCAGTTATAGAAAATGCCTGCCTTTTACAAATACTGTGATGAAGTATGGGAGGACCAGACTAGGGCTTGCATCAGTTTTTTAATAATTTCTAGTGACGTCAAAATTTTTGGGCTTCCCTGGTGGCGCAGTGGTTGAGAGTCCGCCTGCCGATGCAGGGGACGCGGGTTCATGCCCCGGTCCGGGAACATCCCACATGCCGCGGGAGCAGCTGGGCCCGTGAGCCATGGCCGCTGAGCCTGCGCGTCCGGAGCCTGTGCTCCGCAACGGGAGAGGCCACAACAGTGAGAGGCCCGCGTACCGCAAAAAAAAAAAAAAAAGTTTACTATTTTTAAATAGACAGACCTCACCACTATCAACTCTTGATACCGTAAACACTAAGTTATGTTGACAAATCTAATATTATCATTCGTTTGGGGGTTTTTTTGTTTGTGTTTTTGGTTTTGGGCGTTTTTTTGCTTTTACTAGGAAACAGAATACCAGAGCAGCACAAGTACAGGAATTCAGTACAGGCGCTGGAATCAGAAGGCTCTGACCAGTCTCCACCCTATGATTTAACACCTATGTCACAGACTCTCTGGAATTCAACAAAACTGGCACCCACGATAATGTTTCCTCCCAAATTTCCCAGGATTGTTGTGAGAATCAGGCTGAATCGTATACGGGCTCCTTCGGCCAATCAGGGCACCGTATCAGAAAATCTGATGGACAGCGGAGTTAGATGTTATTCTAGTGAGAATACAAAGTAGAAAAAAATTGCTTAAAAAACAGAAAAGTTAAGCAACTTTGAAAATACTGTATACTCTGAAACAGTAATTTCCATGCTAGGAATTTATTCTAATTCGAAAAAATTTTTCAGAAATGCAGAAAAGGATGGAGGAATAAACATACTCAATAGGACATTTTTTCCAAAATTAACAAAGAAAACTAGAGATCTCTCAAATGTCTTCCAATAAAAAAGAGTCTTTAGTTAAATTATGATGCCTACCTACAGTGGACTATCACATGGTCATTGAGAAAACTTCTAGAATGTTTAATGACACGGGGCAGTGTTCATGGTCTAATATCTCAACTGATCACCTGACTGCCTTCAGTCTGAAGCATCTCCTGCTTCTCCTCAGGACTTCTTTTCTTTTCAAATCTTTTAATGAATTCGCAGTCTTCGGAAGAAATCATCTGCCCCCTAGAAAGAAAGAACAAGGTTTTCGTTCAGCAAGAGTTAAAGAGCCACTGGGACCAAGTGATACAGGATGCCCTGCGTCTCTCCTCTCTCTGCGAGGGCTGACACCAGACTCTGGTGTCCCACGGCCCTGCCGTCTGAGTCCAGCCGCACCACCTACTACTCATGGGCCTCCCAGGCCCTGACCGGAGCTAATTTACCTGCAAAATGGGAACAAGAACCACATGCCTTTAAGGGGCGGAATTGAGGATGAAATAATTCACATGAGGTGGTTAGCACAGGGCCTGGTCCACAGGAAACACTCACTAAAATGCCACCTCTGGGCCTTATCCAAGTCTCAGCCTATCTCCGGTCCCAAGCCAATTTACTTGGCCATCTAAGTTATCAAGACAAAAACTCCTGTATACAACTTTCTGCAATCATGTCCTCCAGCATATTCTTTCCTTTCAGACCCAGAAAAATGTGACCAAACCCTCTCTGAAAACACCCCCATCCTCCCAGCAATCAGCCCGCACTCCATCTTCTTCCCCACTCCGCAGTGCTAACTTGTGATCTGAACTCCAGGCCGACCTCTCCCAGTCCCACTCACAGATCACATATATGACACAGGCACTCCACATCCTACAGGGGCAGAACTGAGGTCACGAATATATACCCCACACACACTCTATCCCCCAGCTAGGCTGATGGGACGATGGAAGCAAAAACAGACACGGTGCCCTGTTTCCATTAAGACTAAGCACTTCACCTATCACAGTTGGTCAGGAGAAAACGCACTCTGCACCCCAGGCTAGACCAAGATAATGACGCCAACCTGTCTGGTTCCAGTCCCAAAATAAATGAAGTCTTTTTTCATAAACCTGAACTCCCTAGCTCAAACAATTTTACCCCCAAATTTGGCTATGCTGACATGTAAAAGCATGCCATACCTTTTTAAATAGGACAATCACAGGAAAGAGATGCAGTTTTTCTACCACTGAGAAGGTGTACTATGAAGGTTGTACTCGGTAATCTGGAAATTCTGCAGCTTTCTTTTGTATTTTTACTTGGCAAGCCATTCCTTCTGAAGTCTAACTTCCTTGCATTTGTCCCAAGGAACCTTTTTTTGCTTTCTGTGTTTAAATTATTTCACCTGTACTCTTCCTCTGACAGTCCCACAATCTAACAGGCCACGGACTCCGGCCCCTTCTGTGATGAGCCAAGTCTGGTCGGGCCCCGTCCTCACAATTCTTCCCCCTGACATCACTCTCCTCCCCACTTCCCCGCCGCTGGGGTGGCTCAGCCCAATGGCCCCGGTCCAGCGGGTTTCCTGCTTCCAATCCAACCCTCCTCCACAGCCCCCTGACCTACACTGCCAGGCAGCTTTGTCAAACACCACCCCCCAGACTGTTTTACTCCTTTCATTTGGTCAGACTGTGAATTTGAAAGGCGGTTCTACCTAGCACCTAGGCAGAGGCTTTCAACAGTGACTCATTAAAACCTATACGAGCACGTCCATGGTACTTAACCTACGTAAGCAGCTGTCTACTCATCTTTAAAATGAGGATAGGGCTTCCCTGGTGGCGCAGTGGTTGAGAGTCTGCCTGCCGATGCAGGGGACACGGGTTCGTGCCCCGGTCTGGGAAGATCCCACATGCCGCAGAGCGGCTGGGCCCGTGAGCCATGGCTGCTGAGCCTGCGCGTCCGGAGCCTGTGCTCCGCAACGGGAGAGGCCGCAACAGTGAGAGGCCCGCGTACCGGAAAAAAATAAATAAATAAAAAATAAATAAAATGAGGATAGAAAACTTATTTCACAGAATTGCTATGAAATTACCATGAAACAATACGTGACTTACCAAGTACGTTACTTCTTTTCCCAAAAGCTTGTCTCCACGGCACCCCTCCAAGTCCTCTGCTCACTCATGATCTAATCAGCCAGTATTAGCTGCCAGCCAGCTATGTGCCAGACACCGTAACGAACAGGCCACACAGCAATGAACTAGACATCCCTCCCTCCGTGAGCTCACATTCCAGAGCAGAAACCAGAAAATACACAAGCACAAAAGCAAATACTTTTTAAAAAAATATACACACACATATCATAATGCCAGGATTCTAAAAGTTTATTAAACAAAAAACTAAAGCTAGGTAGGGAGGAAAGGACATATTTTAGCTGGATTAGAGAAGACCTTCCTGAGGTCACCTGCACAGACACCTGAATGAAGGGAGTTAGTGATCCAGGAGGAACTTCCACAGACAGAAGTGTGAGTCCAAGGACGCGGGGGCAGCAGGGAGCTGGCTGTGTGGGAAAGAGCAGGAACGCAGAGCAGCTGCAGGGCTGGGGGCACCGGGGCACGATCTGACCTACACTGTTTCTTAGTTGAAGCAGAGTTGATTTACAATGTCATGTTAGTTTCAGGTGTACAACAAAGTGACTCAGATATATATATAAAATCTAAATCTATATATATAGAGAGAGAGAGTAAAATCTCTATCTATGTATCTATCTATATACATATATATATATATATATAGAGAGAGAGAGAGAGAGAGAGAGGGATTCTTTTTCAGCTTCTTTTCCCTTACAGGTTACTACAAAATATGGAGCATAGTTCCTGTGCTACACAGCAGGTCCGTGTGGGTCTGACCCACATTGTCTGAAATGACTCTCACTGCCCTGTTAAAGCTGTACCTCCGGGGAACAGTGACAGCAGAGACCCCCGGCCAGGACCCGCGGGCACGTGTGAGACGCGGGCAGCCTGCGCCAGGCAGCAGCAGGGCACCTGGACAGAGGCGGTCAGACTGGGGACGGGGCCTGGATGTGCGGACCTGGGCCTGGACGGGATGTGGACTGTCAGGGACAAGAAGAGAGGAGACGACTCCTAGGTGTCTGGCCTACAGAGCTGGCACGTGTGGGTGCCACACTCTGGCCTGCAGCAGCCTGGGCGGGGCTCCACCAGCCGACCTGAAGCTCCCCGAGCCCTGCGCGTCCTTCTGAGTCTCCAGTCCCCGCCCGGAGGCTCCTTCCCTCTCGGCAGCTCCAGCCCCTCTGCCCATGACTCCCACAGGTATCTTCATGTGCTCCCTGAGGACGTCCCCAGTGCTGTTAGGTGATGAGTCACTCCCTCCTTTTGTTATCTGGGAAAACTTGACATATGTCTCCATTTTAATGCTCACCACAACGCATTATTTAATTTTTCAGTTAAAGGTCTGCTTCCCCATTGAACTTTAAACTCGGGAGGAAGGACACTATTCTAACTCTCGCATCCTCAGGACAGTTTTACTGGATTCCGGTTTGACCGGAATAGCCACGCCCATTCGTTTATGGACTGTCTGCCTGAATGATTAAGAAGTTTAATCACATGTAAATACACTTTAAGGCACAGGACTTCCATAGTAACATGTTAATGTGTGAGAGATACTGGCCTTTGACACTGGGCGATTCTCCCATTGGTTTTACTCTATCAGAAAACAATGTGGCATCAGATTCACTGGTAACTCACGGGTCCCGTCCAGCCCCCAACAAGCTGTGAGCGCTCTGGGGCTGGGGGGAGGACATCTCACTCCCACTAGTGTCCCCACAGCCAGCTCAACAGAGGCACACGGCTGACACGTGGGGAGCATCTGTGTACAGACGTACAGAGTAGATGGCTTCTATAAAGGAAATCCATGAGCTGGACAACAGAATAAAGGACAGAAGTAGGAAAAAAGGGAGACTATGACTTGTGTAGTGGGGAGGCCATGGAACAGGAGGAACAGCAGAGAAAGCAATTAAAAATCTCCCTGTAACTACGAACGTTCCAAATGCCAATGCGAGGGAATGCCTGCCCGTCAGCCAGTGCTTTATGATCAAGTTCAATATTATTCTATTTAGGTTATAAACAGTCGGGCTTTATGAACATGAAACTCCTTGTCTTCTAGTCTAAACACACTCTGGACTAAGATTAGGAAACAGAGCTCAAAATCCTCATTTCACAGGGGACGTACACAATTACACAGATACAGATGAGCAGAGGAAACATCAGGAAGTCCCTCTCGCTCCTGCCCTTGAACCTGTGGCCTCACCATGATCCACTCCCTTAGCCCGGGAAACCAGAACTCATCCTAGATACTTTTTCACCCTCATACATCAAACTGATCACTAAGATCTTCTCCAGTCTCTCCAATTCTAGCCATTCCCACAACCCCAATACTGCTCTAACCTGTCCCTAGCTCCAAGCTTACTATCCACAAATCTACCCTCTACACTGAGGGAAGAACAATCCAACCAAAAGGCAAATGTGATTATCTAACTCCTGCATAGAACTATCAGTTATTTCTAATTCCTCCAACAGTGAATTTAAAACTGTGTTCCTAGGGCCCAGAAATAGACCCCTCAACATATGGTTAACTGATCTCCAAATGATCAGTTCATATATCTGACTTCCTTACTAGACTACGAGTTTATCTCTTTGTAGCCCCAAAGTCTGGAAATAATGCCTCAAACTTGGCAGGTGGTTATTAAATGTGTGAGGAGTAACTAAACTAACAGAAATAAATGGGATCATTTTTGTACACTACATATACCTCTTAGAACAAAGCAAACTGCTAAATATAAAACTAAAGCTTTCCCAATTTGTTTTTCAAAATATGCATGCAAATCTTAACTGAATTTCACTTTAAGATACGTACAGAACACCCACGTGCTAAATCTTAACACACCCAAGGAGGGGGAAAGAACTAAAATTTATTGAATGTATTCAACACACCAGTGCTTGTATTCAACTGTGCTAATGCTTTAAATACACGATTTCAGCAATGCTCCCGTGGGATATGTATCCCCATTTCACATTTACTTTAGTGAACCTCAGAGGAGTTAAGGGATTTGCCGAAGATCAGCAAACTAGTAGACACAAGAACCAGAATTCAAACTCAAGTCTTGAAACTCAATCGCCTGCTCTTTGCTAGTTGTCTGAGCCCTTCTGCAACACCACCCGTCCCCACGCTGATCACCAAGGCATACGGGCCGGCGGGGAGTCGGGCAGGCTCTGCCAGTCATCCTCTTCCTCCCTCCAGGGCCTGAACACTCCTCCTGTGCTTCCTATCCATCCAAACAGTACCACTTTCCAGGCAGAGAAGCTCAGAAGTGCTGTGGCCACTGCTGCCTCCCAACCAGAGCCCCAAGCTGTTTCCATCACACTAAGCTGTCTCCCTGTGACAGCTAATTATTCTAAGGAGGAAGTGTTTTCTTCCACATTTATTAGTATTTTTCCAGTATTTCTCTCACAGAAGCATGACCATGAAAAAGTCTGAAGCAAAGGCACATGATTACCCATGATTCACAGCAAAGCAGCACTTACTGAAGGTAGGACTGCCAGTTCACTTTGTTGGCACGAACTTCTGCAGCCTTGGCAGCAATGATGTTGGTTGGAACGGCTGCATCCACGGCACCCCGGATGTCCATCTTGGTCTAAATTTATGATCTTGAATGTTGTTCTGCGGACCTTCAATTTTGATGCAAGGGAAAACCAGAATACAAGGTGTATTTGTTTTTTTAACAACTACTACTATTATTATTAGCAATAGCATCATTATCACCTTAATCTCTACAAGCATTCAACTCAAATACTAAATATTCTAAATATTAAATAGTTATGCCATTATATTTCAAATCTTGTCCCGTTATGCACTGTTCCATAAAAGTGTTCTCTATAGGTTTTTACTTTTCCACGTAAGGTTTTCTAATTATTGGCACCAATATCGCAGTAAGATTTTTAAAGTAACCATGTAAGATACTGAATTAAGAAACCATGCTTAGAATAGGCATACAAAATAGGAAAGTATTTTAAATGTATACGGTTGAGATCAACTTTCCTCTTCTGACACAGAAAAAATAAGAACCTGCATAGTACAGATAGGACCAATTATTTTATTTACATTTACTAAGCCTCATTTTAAAGTGGCATATGAAAAACCTACATGTCCTTTCTAACATTATTTACTCAAATTAAAACACCCAAAGTAGGAATGCCGTATCTTAGAAGACAGAGCTTTCTTTTTTCAATCAAAATTTATAGCAGCTTCAAAGTCAATATTGGGAGAATTTTTTGAAACAAATAAAGATTACAGTTTAGGCTCAGCCAACAGTGAGAGACTGGTCTGATAATATGATCCTACAATAATGAGCTTTTAAGTAATTCTCACTCCTAAACTTAAAGATAAAAGCTTAAGCCTGATTTTATCACGACACAAAATATAAGTTCTGGTTTACAAAATATAAGCTCATAGTTATGACCACAAAGAAGCTTAAACCACACCCCAAATTCTGTTCCAGAATCCCAATGACGTTAGTCAGTTTGGAAGTAACCTCTACATCTGAGGATGTGCTGCATGAACAAACACGGGCAATGCGGACTGGCTGGGCCCAGGTGAAAACAGACTCCGTCCGGGCCAAGCTGGAACCTGGAATCAAGCGGGCTCAGCCCCAGCGGCCCCTCCTGCGGCGGCTGAAGGTGCCTCAGGGCGGTCACCTAGGTCCCTGAACAACTCGAACCCCCAGCCGGCCCAATCCTGGGGAAAGCACACCTTTCATCCGTTCACCCTCTCTCCCCTGCCCTTCTCTGCGGGGAAGGCTCCGCAGTTTCGAAAACCCCGCTGAGGCCCGGAAGGCAAGAAATCGGGGAACCGGGGCCGGAGGAAGGCAGGCGGCGCCTGGGCGGCAGAACCCAGCGCGCTCCAGGAAAGCGGAGAAACCGCAAGCTCGCCTTGCCGGGGTCGGGGTAGGAGTCGGGGGCCGGGGCCGCAGACGGCACGACCCGAGCGCGGCCTCACCCAGCGAACCCGCGGGACCCTCCAACTCACCCCGAGGCGGCGGGAAGATGCGGCGGTCCGGAGTCGGGACCGCCGGCGTGCTGGGGCGCCGAGTCGGGTCTCCTGCCGAGTCCGCAGGCCTGAGCGGCGGCGGGGACGCACCGCCAGAAAGCGAGCCTGATTCGGCACCGAGCGGACGTGAAGGGCCTCACAGGCAGGAGGAAGCCGCAGTGGAACAACGGAAGCGCAGGTCACGTGAGCCGAGGCACGTGACCGCCCGGAAGACGGAGGCCGGGAGGGCCCAAAACAGCCAGAGGAGCGCCCTGCGCGCGAGAGGGTTTCTCTGAACGCGGGGCTGGGGGCGGGGCGGACACGCGGGGACCCCGCACCCCGAGACCCAGCGGCCCCGGGGACGGAGTCCGAGAGGGAGAGCCGGGCCAAAACTCATCTAGCTCAACCGTCACTCTGAAAAGTTTAATTTAGTGCTTTGAAATCGGTTGACTTTCACTTGGGTTTGACAAGTCAGTGAAGCAGGCGTTCTTATTCACAGTCTCAATATGAAACTGATGCTGAGACATGGGTCACAAAAGTTATCTTGCCCTAGGGCTGCAGATTTAGCGAACAGTGGATGTTCCATGCCACAGCTGCAATTATACTAAAAAAAAAAACTATTCCTGTTTAATTAAAATTCAAATTTAATAGCACCCTGTATTTTTCTGAAAACCCCGTTTTGAGCCGAAGTTTTCCCCAGTCCAGGCCTCAGCTTCCCTCTTTGTCTTAAGGTAGTAACGAGTAACGCTACACTGCAACTAGTGAGCGGGTATAATATAATAGCATATTGTTTTTGATAACTGCTGAAAGAGATTTGTAGGTATAACCAATACATTTCTCCTACAAATGTTAAATTTAGGTCAAGTTTTGAAAACAAAACTAATATTATACACTGATTACAAATAAACACAGTAGGAATAGTATATACTATTGCATTCTTTTTCTATTGCCGCTGTAACGAATTGCCACAGATTTACTGGCCTAAAGCAACACAAATGTATTATCTTACAGTTCTCTAGGGCAGAAGTCTGAGGTGGGTGTCACTGGGTTGCGGATGTCTGGCTGGGATGAGTCCTCCACGCCGCTCCCCAGGCGCTGGAGGAGGATCCATCTCCTTGCCTTCTTCAGCTTCCTCTAGGAGTTGCATGGATTAACATCCATCAGCTTCCACGCACTCTGAGATGTTTATGCTCTTAGATGCAAGTCTCTCCATCCTGCCTGTTACACTTGACCCTTTAGGAAATGTCCTTATACTTGGGAATAAAGCAAAATAAATACACATTTGTCAATAAGTACTTTACTCACCTTCAACAAATTGTAAAATTCTTTTCTCATACAAACTCTCCTTCCTGCAATCTCCAGGACACTTGCTTTACAGAGAATTCCAGGGAATGCCAGTCAATGCTGCAGTTCCACTAGTGTACACACACACACACACACACACACCCTCAAATATGAAAAAATGTTTACTAGGATCTCAGAAGCACTGTGTGTGCAATGTTTTATTAGGAGACTTACTTAGATAAAAATCATTAACAAATTAAACTTAAGAAGATGAAAGAACATTCATACAAATAATTTTTAAGTAGAAAGAAGTTTCTGAGAGGGAGAATGTTTACAAGTGTGGGGAAAGTGCTAAGAGAAATTAACAAATGTTCAAAGGAAATGTTTCCTCCAATGTTTGACACCAGAATAGAAGATGCAGAAATGAGAGTGGGGAAGTGAGGAAAAGGCTGGTGGACCTAAATGACATCCTTAAAGAGAAACGCAAACGATTTGGTTTGCAGGGTGGTGCAAAGCCATGGTTTCCGGCCCCAGGGTATGGAGATGTGGAGGCTGGTCCCAACTGTACTATCACATGTAGCCCTTGGACTCATCACCTGATATCCCATGCATGTTTCCCCATCCACAAAATGAAGAAGATGATGGGAAGGAGGACAAGACACTCTTGATGGTCCCTTCCAGCTCCGGAAATCATACAGGTCAATTTGAGTCTACTGATACCACCTATTCCATTTTCGTTCTGAGAATCGACAGCCAAACACCAGGTCCTTAGACCCTCAGATTTTCAGTTTATTCCCAGGGTTGGGCAACCATCACTGCAATCAGTGTAATAACATTCTTCATCTCCCCTAAGAGAAACCTCTTACTCATTAGCCATCATTCTCCATCTCTCCCCAGACCCTCCTACCCTAGGCAACCCCTAATGTATCCATATGTTCTGTATCTATAGATTTGCTTGTTCTGGACATTTTCTTATACATGGAGTTATACAATATATGGTCTTTTGTGACTGGCTCTTCCCACTTAACACAATGTTCCAGGTTCATTCACGTGGCGGTACGTATCAATGCTTCATTCCCTTTTATGGCTGAATAATATTCCATTGTGTGGATATACCTCACTTTGTCTATCTGCTCACCAGTTGATGGGCATGTGGGTGGATTCCAATTACTGGACGTTTGCGTGTCTTTGGTGAACATATGTTTCACTTCTCTTGGTTCAGTGCATATCTACAAGGGAATTGCTGCCGCCAGACTGTTTCCCAAAGTGGCTGCGTCATTCTACACTCCCACCGGAAGCGTGTGAGAGTCCCAGTCGCTCTGCATCCTCACTATCACTTGTGATGGTCTGTCTTTTTTACTAAAGCCAACCTGTTGGGTGTGATGTGGTATCCATTAGTGATTTTGACTTGCATTTCCCCAGTGGCTAAAGATGTTGAGCATCTTTTCATACGCTTTTTGGCCACTTGCATGTCTTCTTTTGAGAAATGTCTATTTAGACAATTCACTCATTTCTAGTTGTTTTTTTTTAAGAGCTCTTTTTATATTCTGGATACAAGTCCCTTATTATGTATGTATGATTTGCCATATTTTCCCCTATTTTGTGGGTGTCTTTTCACTTTCTTCATGATGTCCTTTGAAGAGCAAACGTTTTTTATTTTGATGAAGTCAAGTATACCTATTTTTTTCTTTTGTCACTTGCACTTTTGGTATTGAACCTAAGAAGGCTTTGCCTAATATTTTAGGCAAGGTCACAAATATTTTCTCCTATGTTTTCGTTCAAGAGTGTTATAGTCTTAACTCTTATATTTTGGTCTATGATTCATTTTGAGTTTTTTTTTTAATAAATTTATTTATTTATTTTTGGCTGCGTTGGGTCTTCGTTGCTGCACGCAGGTTTTCTCTAGCTGCGGCGAGCGGGGGCTACTCTTCGTTGCGGTGTGCGGGCTTCTCATTGTGGTGGCTTCTCTTGTTGCGGAGCACGGGCTCTAGGCGCACGGGCTTCAGTAATTGTGGCACGCGGGCTCAGTAGTTGTGGCACATGGGCTTCAGTAGTTGTGGCTCGCGGGCTCTAGAGCGCAGGCTCAGTAGTCGTGGCGCACAGGCTTAGTTACTCTGCAGCATGTAGGATCTTCCCAGACCAGGGCTCGAACCCATGTGGCCTGCATTGGCAGGCAGATTCTTAACCACTGCGCCACCAGGGAAGTTCACGTTCAGTTTTTAATGTGGTGTGAGGTCCAACTTAATTTTTATGCCTGAGGCCGTCCCGTTGTTCCAGCACCATTTGCAGAAAAGACAGTTCTTTCCCAATTGAATTGTCTTGGCACCTTCGTCAAAAATCAACTGACCGTAAATGTGTGGGTTCATTTCTGGACTCTCAAAACGTTGATATATGTGTCTATCCTTATGCCAGCACCCCAGTCTTAGTTACTGTAGCTTTGTAGTAATTTTTCAAATTGAGAAGTGTGAATTCTCTAACTCTGTTCTTATTTTTTAGATTGTTTTGGATATTCTGGGTTCCTTACAATGTCATATAAACTTTAGAATCAGCTTGGTCAATTTCTGCCAAAAAGGGAGCTGGGATGTTGCTGGGGATTGTGTTAGTTTTGTATGTCAGTGTTGGGGGCCTGGGATCATTTTATAAAGGAAACTTCTCCAGTTTGTAGTCCCCAGTAATACATACCCGGGATCCTTACCTCTGTGCACCCCCAGAGCCAGCAGAGGCTACTTGGGCATTAGATACCATTTGAGAAAAAGGTATCACGGTCTATCTATTTGCACTCTGTTTAATAATCTTATATTTATAAAGCACTTTACGAATAGGAAGTATGATGTAGAAGCCAAGTCTTGGCTTAATCATTAGAGGACTAGTTACCACCTAAGAAAATCACTTCAACTAATTCTATATGACCTAAGGAAAAAGTGGAATAATCCTTGGGCTTAAGTTTGGGTATGAGTTTAGCACACATTTCCATCCACAAAGCTGACTGCTACTAAAGGGACCTTTTAAGAGACCCAGATAGACCAGGTGGCTCCTCTGCCTCCTGAGCGTTTAGCCCCAAATTGTCAAGCATCACACACTACGAACACAGAACTTTGCCACGCAATCCATTTCCTTTATCATGATATACTAAGCAATATATCACTTGAATCATGTCTTTCAGTTTTGATTTAGCATTCAACTTGAATTAGGAATACGCTGCTACCTGTAGAGGGCAGTCATAACATACCCGGATGCTCAAAATCAGAGGCTCAGCCTGGAATAGAGCTAACGGTCTGTGGATAAACTGCTGACCCACAACACAGATAAGCCTTTTGCTTCAGTTGGTGTAACTTTGCAGGGAGGAGCCCAGCAGACTGAGCGACAGACCAGCCAAAGGAAGAGAAACAGAGTGGACCCTGGGCTGGTGGTGGTAAAATCAACCTACAGGACTCATTTGGAGACTTTACTGTAAAAACATGCCTAGGCTTTCCCCAGACAACCAAGAAGAACTCCAGAAACACTTCTCCAGACCATCTATGCCGATACAATTTCTGCTCCCGCCCAGGGCTGAGGAATATAATGCGAACATTCATCAAACAGTGGAAAATGAAGGAGGCACCATAGCCAGGCACAATGTCAAGGTAAGACCATCTCCACAGTCCGTGACCTTTCTTGACAAGGAAAGGGTTTATCCAGAAAGAATATAAAACCGCAAGCAAGCTTTAGTGCCAGTGATCACTTTATCTTATTGATGATTTATCAAAAATGCTTCCAAACCAAACCCAAGAGAGAAACTAGAACCTTGATAATAATTACCTGATCCTTCCAGTTTTCTCCAACTTCCCTTTACCAAGGCAAACAATCACATTTTGTTTGTTTGTATGTTTCAGGAGGTAATGTTTTAAAAAGCAAAAAACCTAGACATAGATTTTTGTGGTTCTTGATATTAACCCTTAGATATTCTTCTCTGATATAAAAATTATATCCCATATAGTAATGAAAAGCTTTCTACAAAAATTGCTCGAGAAAACAAACTGATAAACTAATACAGGCACATAAGAACATTAAGGGGCTTAGGGTTTTTTTTTCCTAAAGTCAGTTTCCTAGGTAAATTTCCTAAGCCTGAATTTCTGCCACTAGATAACACGATTTCCCTAAAGAGTAACCATTTTTCTGCTCAGTATTGTGTGTATCTTTGCAGAAGGTACAGTTTAAGTCTGTAAATCCTCTTAACTATAAATAGAACCACCTCTTAAAAGGTTATTCATGTGGAGGGAGATGGGCACGTGTTAATACCTCTGACAAATAATGATCAGAACTCAGAATTAAACGCTGCGAATCCTACGACAGCAAACCTGTCCAAATCCTGTAGCACTAGAAAATCTGTCTGTCCCTATGCTCATATCCTCATAATAATCATTATTTATTTGTAGACTCTAAGTATCTGGATCTGCCCTTTCCCCAATGTTATTTTAACCGATTGGCACAAGGAGAAGAAAAATTGTGGGTTTTTTTAGTCATTAGGAACCTTCTTCTGTAGGAATGTACTGACCTTTACTTTCGAGCTTTCAGACAAATGATACATGAATTTCCACACCTCCTCCTATCACCGAAACACTAGGTCTTTAGGAAACTAGAATGAAATGGGATAGAATGGCCAGAAGTCCTTAATTAATGGGCATCTAAATGACGGCAACACAGACAAAAGAGATTTCTAAAAGGTAGAATTTGGAGACAACTCTGAGGAAGTAGGCAGCAATAACAGTATATGTCGTGTGTGCATGTATATAATATACATGTATGTATATATATAATATGTGCATACACACATATAATGTCAAAGATCTAACTGCCTTGGAGAGTATGCTTTAAGCAGAGTCATAGGCAAAGGACTGGAAAGTATCTATGAACGTGCAGTACACATTCCGACAGCGTCCTGGAATCGACAGCCCTGGGGTGCTGGGCCCTCCGAGCTGCCATCCTGACCTCGTTAACCCAGGTAATCAGGTCCCAGCCTGTGCAGCAGCAGGTGCAAGCAGTCAGGAGTGATCCAGTTGGGATGCTACTGGCCTCTCCACTCAGTGTTGCCTTTTTCTATTGCGTCTGAACATAGATGCACATTGAGGCGGCCATGTCCCTTCATCTAGTAAGGATCAGGATGGTAGAACTCAATGCATTTAAGTCTACAAATATCACTGAGTCCCTACTATCTGCAAAACCTTGGGCTAAGTTTTGAGAAAGAGAAAGAATTTGTCCTTCCTCTCTACAGACTCACAGTATTATCAAAACTGCATCCTATCAGCATGAGTCCTGTCAATGCTAGAGGTTATCTATGTGATTACACCCTTTCAATCAGTAAGACACTGAGATGGAATATGACTGATATGGAGTAAAACAACTGAAAAAGGCCTAATGAAAGAGTGGAAAAGGTGACATTTAAGGTAGACATGAAATAATATCTAGAAATGGAGAGAAGTAAGCAAAACATGGGCTGAAATGTGTCTAGATGCCCAGAGTCTTAAATGCACAACTATCTGTAAAACTTTTAGGAAAAAAATGACAGGAAATCTTTATAACCTAAGGCAGGCAGAGTTCTTTTTTTTTTTTTGCTGCATGCGGGGCTCTCACTGCTGTGGCCTCTCCCGTTGCAGAGCACAGGCTCCGGACATGCAGGCTCAGCGGCCATGGCTCACGGGCCCAGCCGCTCCACGGCATGTGGGATCCTCCCGGACCGTGTCCCCTGCATCGACAGGCAGACTCTCAACCACTGCGCCACCAGGGAAGCCCAGGCAGAGCTCTTATAGGGCAAAAGCATAGTTCATGGAAGAAAAATTGATAAATTGGATCCCATCAAAAATAAAAACCTTTGCTCCGCCGAAGACCCTATTTAAGAGAATGTAGAGACAAGTTACAGACTTGGAGAAAATATTTGCAAACCCCATATCTGACAAAGGCCTTGTAATTAGAAATATAAAGAACTCTCAAAACTCAAGAATAAAAAACCCAAACATTCCAAGTAGGATATGGGCAAAAGACGTGAACAGGCATTTCATCAAACAGCATACACAGATGGCAAATAAACACATGAAAAGATAGTCAGCATCACTACCACTAGGGAAATGCAAGCTAAAAACACAATGAAATATCACTACTCACCTATCAGAATGGCTAAAATGAAACATAGTGACGAAACCAATTTCTGGCAAGGATACAGAGATGCTAGATCACTCAAAGATTGCTGGTAGGACGGCAAAATGGTACAGGCAGTGTGGAAAACAATTTGGCTGTTTCTCACAAAACTAAACATGCAACTGTCGTACGGTCCAGCAATTTCACTACTGGGCGTTTATCCCAGAGAAATGAAAACCTATGTTCACACAGACTCCATATGCTAATGTTCACAGCAGCTTTACTCATAATAGCCAAAAACTAGAAACAACCCAAAAGTCCTTCAAGGGATGAAGGATTAAATAAACTGTGGTACATCCGTGCTGTGGAACACGATGAACCAACTAAGAGGAATCAACTACTGATACACAAAAGGAATGAACTACTAACACTGCCCCTGGGATCAGTCTCCAGGGAATGAGGCTGAGTGAAAAAAGCCAATCCCAAAAGGTCACATTCTGTATGATGCCATTTATATAACATTGTTAAAATAAAATTAGAGAAATGGAGAATAGATTAGCGATTACCAAAGACTAGAATGGTGAGGGTGGTGGATGCAGCTACAAAGGGGTGGTTTGAGGGAGCTTTTCAGGGATGAAATACTTCTTTATCTTGATTTCGGTGGTTACACAAACCTACGCATGTGATAAAATTGCATAGAACTACACTCACACACACACTTGTGAAATCTGAGTGAGCTCTTAGAATTGTACCAATGTCAGTCTCCTGGTTTTGATGTTGTACGACTTACGAAGTTCCCATTGGGCGAAACTGGATGAAAAGTGCGTGGGACCATTGTGTAGATCCTTTTTTGGAACTTCCGGTGAATCTATAATTATTTCAAAATAAAAAAAAAAAAAGTAAAAGCCCTCCAAAGGCAGGTTAGACTGAAAATAACAATACATTTACGTGTTGCATAAATGTGTCGCCTACATTCACTGTGGCTCTTCCTGTTCTTTTTATTTGAATTCTTAACCAATTTCATTAGGTCAGTAGCACTGACGTCGTTAGACCTGTTTTAGAGATGAGAAAACAAGTTTGGAAAAACTTTTGGTTCCATGTGTGATGTCAGCTGAGTGGTGATTTGAACCTAGGTTTTTCTGACACTGATGTCATTACTAATTCGATAGATGCTGGCAGTGTTTTAGAAGCAGGCTATAATCTCGTGGGCTTGAAGCCAGTAGCCTCAATAGTGATTTCTCTGTGCATTCTGCCCAAAGCAGCCCAACACGGCCACTAGTTTACTACAAAATAAATTAATATTCCCCAAACATACACACGCACACACACCACACACACACACTCACGAACTTGGCTTCGTCAGAATTCTTTTTTCTCCACAAGGATTTTTGCTTCCTTCCATTCAGGGCACAAAGTACAAGCGGGAGGTGGGGTGCTCCCTGGACCAGTCACTCTTTCTAATAGTAAACGTGAGAGAGAGAGAGGAAAATTTCCAGCCACACTGGCAATAAGTCAAGTCATCGACCCATCCATCCATCAATACAGATATATACGCATATGTGTGTGCATTCCTTCCCTGTAATAAAAGTGGGCAGAGCTTAGACAAGAAAGTGTTCTACACAAAATTACTGTTCGTATCATTTCAATGTCGATGCCCCTCTAAGAGCACAGACTCCTAAGTGCTCTCCTGTTCCAGATGTGTGACCCCTTGGGCGTCTGATCAAAGCACTTGTTTTGAGACATTACACAGTAAAAGGAGAGAAACCAATTCCAAGGCCCCAAAGGGCACCTATGAAGACAGCGGAGCTTTGTGTGGCAAAAATGATAGAAGAAAGAAGAGAGGAAAAAATACCTTAGTGAGAAAGGAATTATGCTTCTAGTATCCAGCACCTTCACATTAACGTACTCAGAAGACAAAATTGTTCTGTCCTGCCTCCAGTTGTGAAAGGGTAAGTTCGCTGAGAAGGACAAAGGTGGTTCTTATCTTTCCGAAGACCCTCTGAAAAGAATTCTGTACCAATCTGCTTAACACCTGAGAGGCTCGCAAACCCGCTTAGGGAAAGGCTCACCTGGAAGTCTGTCGTGGTTACATCTTCCGTCCTTGGCGCGCACGGGTGAGCCGGGAATCCTTGGGTTCCTACTGCAGGTGTTTCCAGGGGAGCAAAGGCAGGAGGGCTCACCAGGCTCCAGACTCAGGGGCTTCTGGGAAAATGTGATTCTTCCCGCCAGTGGGAATATCATGTAAAACCCACTGTGAGCGTCTTCATTCTCCACAAGATTTTTCTACTCTGAAAACAACTATACAAAAAAGATCCACATCAGTGCTATTCTTCAAAGTTTTAGATGAAAACTTTTAAATACAAGGTTTGATCATGTTTACCAACTTTTTTTAACATTTAAATAACTGTCTTTCAGGCTTTTACGTTAAAGATTGGGTTTTCGCCACTGGATTCTATTTTTAGAGGCGAACGTCTCCACCAGCGCCACCAAATAATTCGGCTGAGCAAAGGTAGACTATGTTTATGGGCTTCTTTGCTCGTCTGAAGTTTTTCTGAATGAGAATGGGTTAGAGGATATATAGCATTAGGTAGTTTTCTAACTTAGCTTGAGTTTGAAACTTAGCTTTTGTTCTTTCTTTTTTTTTTTAAATGAATATATTTATTTATTTTTGGCCGTGCTGGGTCTCCGTTGCTGCGCGCGGGCTTTCTCCAGTTGCAACGAGCAGGGGTTACTCTTCATGGCGGTGCGCGGGCTTCTCATTGCGGTGGCTTCTCCTGTTGTGGAGCACGGGCTCCATAGTTGTGGCTCGTGGGCTCAGCAGTTGTGGCTTGCAGGCTCTAGAGCACAGGCTTCAGTAGTTGTGGCACACGGGCTTAGTTGCTCCGCGGCATGTGGGATCTTCCCGGACCAGAGCTAGAACCCGTGTCCCCTGCATTGGCAGGCGGATTCTTAACCACTGCACCACCAGGGAAGCCCTTAGCTTTTGTTCTTGAGACTGTAAACCTAGAGTTTCTGGACACACAAACGAATGGCAGTATTTCTAAAAGTGGTGGCTCTGAAGTGCTTCGTGTATGTTACCAGTCACACCAGGCTCAGGGCACATGGTAAGAAGCCTCTTATTCTTTGGTGTCTCCGGATTCTCACACACGGCTTGATTTCCAGGGTGTGTGACGAGAGCCACACAGGGCTTCTCTGCAGCCCAACCAGCGTCGCTGCCTGGAGAGCCAGCCTAAGGAGCCGGGTGCTTTCTGCTGCCACTGGCAGCTTTGCTGTTGGTTGACACTGACTGAACCACCACGGCATACTCACACAGGGCACAGGAGACACGTCTTAATAACTCGTGCCCGTGTTATATTCATTATAATATTCAAGCAGATGTCGCATTTCTGAAATGACTGAGACATCACCAAAAACTGTAGAAAAGGAAGTTTTGCATGGAGATAAGACATCCTGTTACCAATTTTGAAAAGGAGGGAGACTTTTAATAGCAGATTGCACACCACAAAAAATTAAAATGATCAAAGTAGGAAATATCAAAATAAATGTTTGAAAAAGTCTATCAGAACACAGAGAAGAAAGATAAATTAAAATTATGAGGGAGGAGAGGAAATAAGGGATACGGAGGACAGATCTTCAAAATTCACCTTAGGGATAGATAAAAGGAACAGATTAAAAGGGGATCTGAGCAGTGAAATAGCAATAATCAATTTTTTTAAAAAATACAACTTTATATTCCTGATATAAAGATTTCATATAATATTTGAGAATACATATTGTATTCCATCAGACAATAAAAACTAAGTCTAGTAATATCTTCATAGAATGTTCAAATTTCAAAAATTAAGACACTATTTCTATAAATATCCAAAAGGGGGAAAATGAGATTACCTACAAGGAAACAAAAAAGAAACTTTACCTTATAATTCTCTGAAGCAGTAAATAACTGAAAACAATAGACTTATAATTAGAGAGCTTTCAAAAAAAAATTTAAAAAACTGTGTCTCAAGACTTATTCATAGCCAGGTGTCATTCATGCCTTAACACAAGAGGAAGATATTTTAAGATATGCCAGGATGTGGATGACACATGACACAACTGCACTTCCTGTATAATCACATGAAAATTCTTGTCGGAGCAACAAAAGATAGGGCAAAATGAGAACCCACGAATGAGAGTCACAGTTCAGAGGGATTGGTGGTAACTATTGAAACAGTTAATCAGATGGAACTAATAGAGGTAAAAAGTGACTGTAAAGTGTGACTATTCTTTAGAAGTCTGGTTATATCATAAAAAGAAAGGGGAAAAGAATGAGGGAAGAGGCTTACCTCTCCAGATTAACTGGCAGAGCAAGGGAGGAAGGAGACATCGGGCCTCACTCCTCGTGTCTGGTGGAAGAAAGCTGGAAGAATTCTGCCTGGACAGCATCTCTAAAGCGGAGGGAGGGGCGCCTTTGAGGCGGTGGAGCCAGAGGCCGGCAAAGGGAAAGGCAGTGATGTCCCCTTGACTGTCTAAAGAATGTCCAGCTCAAACGGGACTGCAGTTATGCTTTTTAAAAAGTCCCAAGAGGCACGTGGAAGTGTTTGCAGAACAAATGACTGACTTTCAACTTGTTTTAAGGTAATCCTGGAGGAGAGGAAGGTAGGGCAGATAGGAGGCGAAGCACAACTGGCAACATGCTGATAACTGTTGAAACAGTGATGGGTATGAGGGTTTGTTAGTATATTTGCTCAGTTTATTATTTGTTTTAATTTTGAAAATTAACATAATAAAAACATTTTTGTTAAAAATCACAAAGACTAGAGCTTAGAATTTACCCTTTAAAATTAAATAACAAATTAAATAAATACGGAAATACAGCTTTCCATATTCTATTTATACACCACAGTGGGAGCAGCTAGTATATGCTTTAGACTTTCACTGGATAGCGAGATTGAACTTAACCTTGCAGAAAAAATTTTAAATGGCAAAAAGATCCTGTCTGGAAGTCTAAAAAGTATACTGTAAAAAGTCCTTGTTGGCCTCGGCGTGCTGCTTAGACTTTTATTCATAAATTTTATCGCTCTCAGATTTTAAATTTATGGTTAGGAAGAAATATATCTAAGTCTCATTTCCATTGTGCAAAAGATCTCATAACATTATGTTGGCTTTCCTGCCAAAATCAAGCCAGCCTTCACCAAACCATAAAACCACTGCAAACATATTAGAATATTTGAAGTTTTGCCTTCTTGCAGGGTAAAGACGTAGATGAAATTTACCGGGAATCTTAGATAGTAATCTTGTGTTATAGGTTCAATACGAACCGTTTATTTCCATTCCACGCATAAAGCAATTCAGATCAGGCTTGTATCATTTGAGAGCTTATTTTAGAAACCTCTGCAAAATGGTTTTACAGTTACTGCATTTTAAATGACTGAAATAAGTAGTTTTAAAATGAAGCAACTATGTTGAAAGATAATAGTTTAAACTATGCAGTGACAATTGGCATATATTCAAATATTCAAGAGTAAAACCCAAATTGCAGACTACGTAAGCAATTTAATTTGACGTCGATGATGTAACCAAATACGTTTTTCCGTAAGAATCTATTTTGCTGATGTGATTTTGAATTCTCAACACTAAAAATCATAAGGATTCATTTTCAAGTGAGAGACCATTCTAAGGACCGTTATTCAAAAACAGACAGAATGAATTAAATATCATAAGCATAGTCTCGACACATTTTTGTAGCTGCCCGTTCACACTGCACCTGACTACAAGAGAAAAGTACACAGCAGGGAGGCAGGAGCCGAGCAGCTCAGAAACCTGACCCCGGGGGTCTGTGGAAGGTGGTGGAAAAGGCTCAGACCAAGACTCGGCTGTCGCTGCCTCTCCACGGCCTCACTGCCAGTGCCCAGGAGAGAGAGTCCAACCCAGGGGGGTCTGGTGCCTACGCCTGGGTCAACAGCCCTGGCCATTCTGTCGGCTGTGAGATAGCCTTAAATAGCTGTTCAGCACGAGTTTTAAGGGACTGCAACTTTGAAGCAGCGTGTGGACCTCCGAAGGCAACCACGTACTCAAAGGAGAGAGCCCCGATTTCGATGTTTGAGTTCGGGCATCTTGACATCTATCGCCCAAGGGCTTTATGATCACATCTCAGAGATAAATCCATCCTTCTCCTCTGTTTATCCCTAATTAGCAAAGATCCGTGGATAGGCCCTCCACAACTGTACACTCCCTATACATCCCCTCCCCGAGGGGACATGGGTGGACGCTGAAGTTTTCGTGGGACCCTCTCTGCTCTCTTGAGTCAGACCAGATGGATCCAGTGTGGGTCACCTGATAACTCAGCCACATGGGGACATGACTATTTTTACCTATAAGTTATCAGGAAAGGTTGCTTGAGGTTATATAAAAAATCGTTGAGCAAAATATGGCCAAATGGAATGAATAAAACATGGCTAGAAAGAAACGATCAAAAGCATTTGATATTACCAATTTCGCTCCACATTTCCCAGTTCTGTAATAAATCTCTCTCTGCTTCTGCAAGTTAGATTTAGTCCTGTTTATTTGAGACTCTGATCTGCGACCATTTGCCCAGAAGGTCACATGTTCTGAAGGATGTATTTTTTGAAGTTTTCAGTGGAAGAGAGAGCGTTGTTCCGTCAGCACCATCCTGTACTTAATTATACGGACACTTTTGCTGCAGAACAAGTTTGCTGGATTGACAAATAAGGATACGATCAGCAAACAAGAGCCAGGTCCTATCACTGCCTTTTCTCTGTTTTTGTCTTTTCCTAAAAATAGCTGCAAAGTGACTGTTTTTAACAACTCACTAGTGTCAGCAAAATCTGTAGGGCTCCCCTTTCCCAGAGTTTCTGTCTCAGAGAAGAAAGCCAGGCATGTCCGTCATTTGTTGGCCCCTCGGGGAGCCCAGGCTCTGGGGGCCCGTCATTGCCTCATGTATATTCTGACAACATTGAGAGAGGCAGGTTATGAGGGAAGGAAGCAAAGGTCTCCCCGGCTCCACAGCCATCAGCCCGGGTCCAACAGGGAGATGAGAAGTTCTCCTCCCTCTGCCCCCCACGCACACCTTCCCCAGTACCCCCAGGCATACCCTGGGCATC